TAGCATGGCGCATGATGATTATAGTTGAAATACACTTTTGGACAACTTATTGGTTGAAGGTTTAGCCCGATTTATTCTCTAGTGCATAGTACGGTCTTATGATGATTATCTACACATCAGGTCTATTTATGGTGTTTCTAAGCAGTTCAGAAAAGGCCCGAATAGCCGATAATTCCGATTTACTGTTTAAAATGTTTAACAAAATGTAAAGTGATATTATTAATTTAAATTAATATATTATTAGTGTTGATTGATTTTTTTTTTTAATTTAAGCGCTCTAAAATTACAGCTAAGGTTTGAAAAATCGTATTTCAAAATAAATGATTAGGAAAAAATCAAATTAGGTAGTTAGATTAAAAACGACGAGAGTTCTTGTTTATGAACGCTAATCAACACATTTTCCTGAAATTCGAGCAACAATTTTCCCAGCTACGAAGTTACGAACAACACACAAACGCATTAAATGTAATTTGTAGGACTACCAACTATGGTGCAAGGTTGAATATAAATACGAGTAAAATCATTATAATGTTTAGTGTTCGTTTAGAAGCGATGAATAGCGATGCCACTGTTCTACGTTAGTGTACGTCTTCACATTTTACACTTTTATTCTACAGTATTTTTTTGAAAATAAATATTAGGTATTCTAATATTCATCGTCAAAATATGTCAAGGACTCACTGGTGCATTTATGTAAGTATAGTTGTTATTACATTATATTTTAGTATATTATAACCTATGTACCTGTTGTACCTATATATGTTTTCAAATACTGTTGATCGAAAATAGATAACAATTAAAAAGTATAGAAATAGTAAAATAAAATATTATAATTTATGTACTGTTATTGTGTATTAAGCTTAGATGCATAATTTACCACATAAAATCATTTGTCAAACAATAGTAATACAAATATTGATATATTATTATTTACAACCATATTAATCATTGGTCGTTATCATAAATAATAATACAATTAGAACTATAGAAATCTAGCAGAGGAAATTTATATTTATATATATCTATATATATACATGGGTATTAATTATTTTTAAATATCTGGGTATAAAAAAAACATTTTTTTTATAATTATAGTATTGTTTTTAAACTTAAGCATTAATAATGATTTTAACAAACTCGTTTTATACAGTTTTACTTTTTATCAATTTATTGCTATCCGTTGGGTCTCAAAGTTGTAATTCTGTCACAGATTTCATTAAGGATAATAAATTGTTTCTTTTTAACACATCGGAATCGGTTGTGTTTCTTCCAACCAAATATAGTTATGGTAATCTTACGGATTCTGACTGGGAAAATGATTGTACGGGTTTTTTGGAAGTTTGTACTTCAGCTAATGGGGTTGTATATAAAGGCGAGGAATTAACATCACTCTCAGAGACTGATCTGAAAATTAGCGACAGTGAGTTGACTGATGCTATTCACGCTAGTTTTCTTAAAAATAAACAATTACACGAGGTAATAAGCGTTTTATCTAACAAGTATACTATTAGAACTCGGTCCAAAAGCGTTCAGGTCTTTTCAATTCATTTTGGAGTTGACATAAGTTATACAAATCCAAATTGTACTTACACATCTCGTACTGAGTCATCAGAAATTGATGGACTGATTTGCAAAACTAATTTTGTCTCTGGTGTAAGATATAGTCTTCGATGTGATGATATTAAATTAAGATTGAGACCTATTGATGAAAATGGTAACCTCGAATTTCAATTCAAATGCAAGCCATAATAATTTAATTGTTATAAAATTATCCATCGACAATTGTGCAAATTTGCGTGTTGTATATCATAAAAAAAATTTTACTTAGTACTTAATGAAATCTTGATTTGAGGGGACTTACATTACTTACATTACACTTTTTTAATTTGTGTTAAGACATTTTGATCAACAATTGGGAAAAGGTATATTAAATATATAACATATGTATCTATAGAAATTTAAGGCTCTACATAACAATTTAAAACTTTTATTTATGATCTTTCCTGATCATTTTACCTTGCACAACTCTACCAAAACGACATCGGCCGGCGGACAATATTGGCTGAAACTACGACCGGGCCGTTGCATTTTTTTGTGACCCTTGCAGGTCAGTCATGAGTCCGCTCCGTCAGCCTTCAAGTCTCTCGCAGTGATGACAAAACAATACGGTTTTTACGGCGAACTATTTTCGAGTATTGATGTGGTCCACTCTGATTTTATCACCAACTAGACGACAAAGACGGAACACTTAACGGGCATGAGCATTGTCGAGGCAAAATCTCATTCCACTACTATCAAGACACCATCACCGCCAGCTTGGTCGTATTGTGTAAACTTTTCCCCGTGTATTCGAGGGGGGAGGAATCGTCCAGTCTTGCCCCTCTCCCCTTAGTTTTTAATCATGTTTGCCCAAACATTTATATTATATTAACTAAATAATGTATAATTTGTACCTTCATCATATTAGTTCTACATGTTATAATGTATTTAAATTAAGAGCATTATTTATAAAAAAATCGTCATTATATATATATATGTATATGCCCCCCCCCCCTATAGCAAAAATTCCGTGGACGCTCAAGTCCCCATCCTCCCCGCCACCACTTGTGTACCGTATATGGTCATCCGACGTACACATTTATGTATACTATCGACAGTTTCCTATCCTTTCTAAAATTAAATTTAAACCATCCTCCAAAACTCAATATATATATATATTTAAATCAATATTTAAAAAAAAAAACAAAAATCATTTATCCTAATAATGAGTTAAAAGATGACATGCACGGTGACCCGCAGGTGGGGCCGCAGCGTCGGCAGCGTCCGAACACATTGGTCATGACTCTTACTTAAAATGGAAACAAAACAAATATAATGAAAGTTGATAAATATATATTTACAATGTATATTCTACATATATTACATACAATCATTACCGAGCTGAAATTCAGAAAAGTATTACATCAATATGTTATTTTATCCATATTCGTCTCCCTATAATCCCGCTGTCAATTCTATTGAATATATAAAAAACAACAATTATTTTAGTAAAAATAAGATTTAAGAAACATGTTTTCACAACTATTCAACTTTATATACATATGTTTATTACGCCCCGTTGAAAATGTCATATGATGACCCCATGGTAAAAATTATTTTGTTATTATTTGTAATATTTATTATTATACAAAAATATGTTTTGCCACACTAATATATAAATATAGAGAACAAAAACAAATATTTTACACGTTGTATAGCATATCTAAAACATTAGTTTATATTTTTATTTTTCAACCCCCGACAAAAAAAAATATGGTGTGGTGACCACTGTGTATGCGGTACCCGAATAACCAATGATGAATGAATACCTATTATAATGAGTAATCAAATCGAAGTCTCCCTATATTAATGGGTAGCTTCTTCCATCAATGTTTTTTGTTTTTGTTTTTTTTCCAAGCATGTACCTATGCCACTCTTCAAATATTCTTATCGTGCAATTTCTGTATGCTGTAACTATAGATGGTTTATCTCAATAAATGAGTTTCAAAAAAAAAAATAATGTTTTATTTTATGAACAACAATATAAATTAACATGATTTTTCGTAATACCTTCAATGTTCTTATTAATTCATTCATTATATATCTTTCCCATGTACCTTTAAGGCCGTTCTTACTTCTTACAATACCCGGTTAAGTGTTGGTAAACAGATTTTATTATCGCCAGGACGCCAGAACTCTGCCGGTTAAGTTTCAATTAACTTTAACCGGACATTGTAAGAACCAGTCTTAATAATATGTTGAGCTCATATTATACCTTTTTTGGGTATAACAGGCTAAACGAACTTTTTTATTCCCAGAAAATCCCGACTACTTGTTTAAATGGACGATCTGTGTATGTGTTTTTAAACCACATATTGATATTATCGTTAAATTTTTGTAAACATCTCAATAATTAACGAACCATAATATTATTTTAGTTTCAATAATAATCGTTTGTGTACCTATACAGTTTACATGGCAATACAATATTTATAGTAGTAGCGAATAGTAGTTTGTATTCACTGTATACAAATGTAAAATTATTAAGTGAAATTTAAAATTAAAGAAATAAAACATTTTTCACAAGATTAAAGAACCTCCGAAAATTAATTGCATTGATCGTTATTTTTAGACTTTAGGGACCACCGGAATAATATGCTACATGGTGAACTCAATTTTCAAAAAATATATATAAATGTATAGGATCAGTAATAACTTTCAATAAGTAAAATAACAACTTACGATGAGATTTCGATTTTGTCCGAAAACAGGTTTTGTGTGAAATTTCCCAGTCCACCGATTTTATACCAAAAAACAACATTTTTATACAATACCCACAATAATAGTTACAATTTTCCTGCCACGTATCATTAAACGCTGAAAACATATTATTTAAATGTCTATAAATCGTCAAAATAATATATACCGGATGATACATTTAAGAGGATTTCACAGTGAATGTCAAATGGATACAACATTCGAAAGGTGTCAAAAGAGACAGACACTCATAATTTCAAAACGCATTAACTCTTTTGAAAATATAAAACATATACAAATTATATTTTACATTCAAAAGAGCAATATTCTTCCGAATAATTTTATACAGAAGAAATCGAATTTGGGACGAGTATGAGTTATAAGTATTTAAAGTTTAGATGGTGAGGTGAGGAGGTACCACTCAAAACGTTGATCCACTTCCCCACTCTTTTAAACATTAAATACTTATAAAGTTATGAGTTATAACACAATTTATTATTAAACTCATGTAGTCATATGTATCATAAGCTATTCTATTTGTTTGGTATCCAAATACTCCGAAAAATGTCTTTCTTGGATTATGAAATTAAAACCGTGACCATAGGTATATTTTCATTTTAAAAAGTAAAAGATTTCAAAGAATATTGAAAAATATAATTAATTTCTTCAAAATATTGTTTTGTAATGCCTCAAAATATTTTTTGAAATAATAATAGTGTCTGGCATTAGATGGATCACCCGGTACCCATATAATGTATTGGCTTAACCTTGTATTTCACGATAATATATTAATATTGTTCCCCACCAGGCAGCCCTACGTGTTTTTATCACAAATATTTTATACTTGTAGGTATTTTACATCATCGAAGACATCTACTACTATAATCATATATTATTGCACAGAATATTTATAAAAATACATCTTATTTCATACTAAAAAAAATATATTTTCCATCGCGAATCTCGTTTTTTCAAGAACACACATTGATCCGTTAGCCACTAGTACGTACGCGCGTGTAGTTTGCCGTAAATAATATATATATATTATATAGTTTTTAATTTCTCGTTCTCAACACCGATCCACCGATTTACGTATTTTGAAAAGTAGTTTTCGCATAAAATATCAGCTGTCGGTTGATTAATATAGCGCCAGTGGTGCGCAATTTTTTTTTGTTCCACGACCCCCAATATTATTTATTTTTATATACAGCTTATAGTCAATGAACTACCGAATGAATTTCGGTCGTTCTTGACCGTAAGCATATAAAGTCGGTGTATTCATAGGTATTTTTGCCTATATTATAGTTTTTTATTCGCTTACCTTACAGGAAATCCATTGATTCTATAATACTGGCTGCGGATTCATTCAATCGATCGTTAGATGATATTATGTGTACGTACATATAGACGTTAACTTTTGAGACTACCTACTTAATAACAATAATATTTAAATGCTATAAAAAAAGGATGCAATAAACAAATAAAAAATCACTTAAAAGTAAAAATGAAAAGAAGTATCTACGATTATGGTTTTTGATTAACAACAAAATAAGAAAATAGTTGTATGAACATTAGTTAATTTATGGGTGAATATCTAATGTCTAACTTCAAAATCTCGTAAGCAATTAATTCGTCATTCGGGAAACAGAAGCTACAGGATTTTAATGTTGATAACGTTTTTTTAAACTCATATTATAATGGTTTTAGCAACCACCTGAATATTTTCCTAACATTGGATGACGACATTCGTTTATTATTTTGAATAATTTTTTACTTACCTTTTGCTGGGCTGTAAATGTTTTTTTGTGTTTCTGAATGTTAAGCAAAGATCTTCTAGTATAATAATGATTAAAATTGGGAAAAAAGGGAATTTTCGACAAATTTCATTTTTGTTTTATTTTGTGTAAATCAAAACTCGCGAATAATTTATTATTAATTATAGTTATACAATATATCCCCAAGAGCCGTTCGTTTTTACAGTAACGAAATATCAATTACCCACATATATTGTATATAAAATAAATATATAACTATGTATAAGAAATTATTACCTACTTCTGGCTACCTGCACATATAAGTATACTGGAGGTGGGTGTCCCCACCAATATCTTGTCCGATGAGGAGCTAAGCGACTTTTTTTTTTTAAGTAATGATGGGATGATGGGTGTTGGGAGGGGATAGATTTATGAGACGGTAAGACGTGTGCCTCCAGCGGCATAACACCTTAACACGACACTGTATATTATAACGGCGGGCAACAGAACTAAATCACTAGTCACTACCTCAACAAAACCAATACATCGCCGCTTTGTAAACCGTTAAATATTAAATACACTCATAAAGTTTATTCTTAAATGTGTGAATTAGTATCAACATTATATTATATTATATATATTAAGTCGTGGAACATCCTGTAGGTATATATGTAAATTTAATGATTCTTTTGCGATTCAGGAGTAAGTTTTGTATCACGTTTGTGTTCAAGCCAATTACATCTCAATACGGTTATTGAGGCCGGACAAGGTTTGGATATAAATACCACTATGGCGTCCATTTTATTGTTAGTATACGTTTAATAAGCGTAAGATATAATATCATATAATATATATATTTTTATCGTTATACCCAGTGAAACTCTATTTTGTTATTTTACCATAAGTTCCAACTTAAATTAAATTTTTTTTTGACTTCTTGCTCAGACATTTTTCCAGTACACGAACACATCGTAAGTATGTTGAAAAATAATTTGTACATTTATAGTATTTTGTAATCCGAACACTATTCCCGGATTTATGAAAGTAATATAACCATAAACCAGCTTTTATTATTTCGTTTGATTAAATCTTAATGTTTGCAGTTTCAAAAATGTCTTTTATAAATTATTTTATTTCATTTTCGATTTTTATCGCTATCAATTTAATGTTGTCAATTAGAGCGGAAGATTGTGAAGCAATGTCAAATTTTTTCTTGGAAAAAAATTTAATTATGTTTAACGCAACGGAATCAGTAGTATTTCTTCCCACGTTATTTAATTATAATAAGTTTAGGGAGGCTGAGTGGAAAAAACCGACTTGTGTAGAAGGCGAAGATTGCTATATAAGAAACGAAGTTAGTTTTAATAGTAAAAGAGTACAGTCACTCTCGAAAACTAAATTGGCTATAAATGATGAAGAATTATCTAAAGCCGTTTACAAAAGTCTCATTGATAACAAACTTTCAAGCGATGTACTTAGTGTTTCTCCTGATAGGTACACTGTGCGTACAAACGCTAGAAATTCTATAGCCTTTTCATTAGAATATGGCGTCAGGTATAATATATTGAAACCAAATTGTATAAACTTCATGGTTCGAAATAAAGAATCAGCGATATCAGGGTTGATTTGCAAATTTATGTACACCACTGGTGTAAGATACAACATTAAATGTGAAAAAGTCAAATTGTTGTTAATCCCCATCGATGAAAATGGTTATGCCCAGTGCGATACAATATGTACAGATTAAACATTGAACTTTAGCTACACATTGATTCACAAAAACGCAGTTGTGCGTAGTATTATTTTTTTTATTATAAGTGATAATTAATTATATTATAAGTCGTTAAAATATCATTTTTTACACAAATAATTAGCTACTCTATGATATTATTTTTCTAACAGATAATATGATGCAGTTTAATGAACCTAGGTATAAATATTACGTAAAAATATAAATTTAAACTATTTTCTACTCCACTTTTATATTTAAATATAATAAGCGCCATCGATGTAAGTCTAATAGCATCTCACAGCCAATGTCAAAGAAGGTTCACTAAGAAATGTATAACATGTTCAAGATCAAGGTCCATACATACAACAACACTTTCTGTAACAAGATCTATTGACAAACACCGATGGTTAGTCGCTTTGCATCACTTCCATATAGATATTATATAAGAAATGAGGAACGGCCTTTTGCACTCTGCACCCCATTCCTCGTGAGCTTGGCTCAAAGACATTTCTTAAAAATTGTTTAACGCGTGTAATAATTTTTAAAAGTTCCAATCAGATAATATGGCCGTTGGGGTATCCGTTGTGAAGTGACCGTGTGGTTGCGGCCAGTAGGAGTGGATTTACACACGAGAGTATAATTATTGATTAATTAATATGAAATAAAGTGAACCCTCGAAGTCTGGTATCACGATTATAATAAAAAATGTTTTTAATGCTATCGAGCAAACACCAGTAGCGTCAGCGGTGGTGCTGTGTTTGTTGATTTAAAAAACATTTTTTTGTCGAGTTACTGACAAAAAAAAAGATCAGGCTTAACAGAACAAAATATTATGATCAAAAGTATCGTCACTTGATCACGGTGTATCTATAATTTAGTAGAGTTTGAATACAAATGTCGTTTGCACTACTTATATTTAAAAATTGTACCAAAAGAAAATAATAAATACGTTTCAGAATTTAAGACATAGGAGACGATATCACGGACCTGTTAGAGTGTAAAAAAATAATATATTCTACTCGAACCACGTAAATTAAATAATACCACACAATTATATGAACTATAGGTATTTATTATTTAATTATTTTAAATATTTAAAGTTACATTTTAGCACCAATATTTGTATTTTTAGTCTTGTAAACATTTATAGGTCAATGAAGCAAATGAGCTGAGACAGTTAAACTGAATTCAGTTAAGAATATGCGCCCGGCTATGTTGATCAACTTTCTGCACATTAAATATTGAGTCTTTAGTTATTTTTAAATAAAATATTATGTCCTTGAGTATAAGCGTAATAATAATTAACTTGTGTTTTTCTTCAAATAATATTGAATTTATTGTATGTTTATGTGTTCCTTGATTTATCATTTTCGTATACTATTTTAATAATTTACATGAGTTTATGGAATACATGGGTATAATATGACTGTATGACTTACTTATCCACATAAAAAATGAAGGTGCCTACTTAAATTTAAAATGTAATATTGAAAATTAGACAATAGCTATATTGATTACATTATGTGTGCGATATATAATATATTTAATCAATTTTTTTTTGTTTATTTATCTTATAACAAAGATAATAATAACTATGTTTTATCAAATTATCAATAAGTCAAGAATTGTTTTAATTTTATAAATTTATATATTTTGCATAGGTTTATTTTTACTTTATTACATAGTACCTACCTACTTATTCTTTTTTATAATCGAATCAACTATATAGCATACGTAAATTACACTCCCAATTTGCTGATAGCTAAAAATAAGTTATAGAGTTATTACATTTATTGTAATTATACTTATTTAGGCGAGTATTATAGGTACTTACGACTTACGCATACGTATAAACTATTCATCTCGAGTGTAATAGTAATATTATTTATACAAACCGTCAGAACACCCAATGAACCCCTAACTGGTCTTTTAAATAAAGCAATACTACTTTTTCTAAAAATACATTTTTTTAAATTGTTTTAGTTTTCATATTGTCAAAAACTTTATTTTTAATATAAACGTATTCGATCAAGATCGATGTCTTGATCTAAGTTTATGGCACTTAAGATTTTGTTTTTATTCAGTTTGAATATTTTCAATGTATTCTAAATGAAACAAAATACGTTCAATGACGAGAAGTACATTTAATATATTATACTGGTTTTTATACTAGCCCGTCCACTTATAAGCATACGTCATAGTATCAACAACAACTCGTTTGGCGACTACCTCTGATTTTTAAATAAAAAGGAAATAAATAACAATTTTTTTAATTACGAGTTATCCTCTGGGCTCACAATCTGCAGTCATTTTGCGCAGTATTTTTTTTTTGCTACTCACAACGATACGTATAATTAAGACTGACCTTCACTCTATTTGCCCGTGAATATCTTTCAAGCTTGGCGAATACCTCTGGTTTTTAACTATATGAAAAAACAAAATTAAATTTTGAGTTTAAAAGAATTTGTGGGGCCAAATAAGGTGAAACCCTCTGCTGGGGGCAGAAATAACCTCCACTACAATAATGAAGGTAAATACTGCCATGTGTTTATTAATGGCTTGTGGAATTTATATACTGTAAATCAACAAAGTATTTTTTTCGTAAATTAGGTACAATAACCAAAACATAATTTAATAGTTTAAATCAACACATCATTTTTACGATGTATAAGAATATCAATGCAATATTCCTGTAACCGTGTGATAATGTAATAATGTGATGATAAATAATATTATATGGTTCGTGAAAAACTCAAAATTCATCGACTGACTACTGTCGCATATTAATATTCCGCCCCTCTTTAATACACGGACACACCTAGTATTACATGGAAAAATCCAAGAAGCCAGTTTTTATAAAATCAAGCCAATTACATCAGTTCTACTACAGTTGATGAGGATGAGTAGGGTTGAGATATAAATACGAGGAGATAGAACATTTTTATTTTAGTATTGTTTGAGACTTGTGGTATTAAAGATTTCAGCATAACATTTTACTAATATTTTTAAATTAAAATTTTTTTCTGCTATTGACAATATCCAAAACCAACACTTCCGATGACAAATATCGATTGTAAGTATTTTTATAAATAATAACTATATCGAAATGTTGTAATTGGAAAAATCTGCAATCCAGAACTAGGTTATAATTGAAAATAACTTGAAAGCTAAAAAGTAACAAGTAATATCGTATTGTATCATTAGTTTATTATATTTTATAGTTAATTATGGCTAAAACCATATTGGTATAATAAAAATTTTAAAAATAAATCGTATCTTACACATCCATTATAAAATATTCACATATCCTTGGCTTAAAACCTAAGTCATACATATTTTCTAATTTGAAATAAATTATTTCATAGTATATAGTATCAAATTGTTAGTTAATTTTAAATACTACACGATGAGTTGTATACAAAAATTAGTTTCGGTTTTTATTATAGCAAATTTCATGGTATACGGTGTATTATCGATAGGCTGTGAATTAATTTCAAATTTTTTAATAGATAATAAAATGTATATGATGAATGCAACAGAATCCGTTATATTTATCCCATCGTCTAATTTAGAACCTTATTTAGAAACCTGGGCGAATGTAAAAGATGACAATGTGTACTATAATTTGATTACGTATAATGACGAATACAAACTGTCTCTCTCTAACACTGATTTGGATATAAGTGATAAAAAGTTGACGAATGCAATTTACAAAAGTTTCGTTGACAACCAACTATCACAAGAAATCATAACAGTTTTTCCAAACAGATATATTATTTTGACTGAAAATGGCACAAGAGTATTTTCGTTTAAATATATCAATAATATAAATGTTGTATCTAAAAATTGTGATAAGTTTCAACTTCAATACATATCGACAAGAATAGAAGGATTGATTTGCAAAATCAAATATATGGCTGGCGTAAGGTATAAGGTTAATTGTGGCAAAATCGGATTAGAATTTATGCCTATCAACGAAATAGGTGAACTTGAAGCCGAAATACAATGTATAACCTAAACATTTTCCTTACACTCATTATTTTAATGAAACCAAACTAAATAATATTATAATATCGTGATTTGTTCAATGAAGTAATTTTTAATTGTATTATTCAAAACGAATAATTATTTATGACATTCATAAATCACGTTACAAATACCAACTGAATTTCAAAAATGTAATATTATGATGTATCAATGAAATAGACAAATATTTGTAAGAAATATTAATATAAATGAACCTATAGTCTTATATGAATGAATGCTCGTATAATATTAAAGATGTTTAAAGTACAAGTTTAGTGTGCTAAGCGCAATCGTTATAAAAAATGATTAATTTTAGACTTTAGCTCAATATTTTGCACAATTTAAATTCCATTATATCTAATATATATTCAAACTTGTTCAATAATGTTTGCTGAAAGTTTTTCCACACCCTTGAAGAAAAACACTGTACAAACTAAAATATCGGAAACGACTTTCGGTAATTTAAGATGGACGCATAAACGTTTTGAACACAAACTGTATATTCAAACATTTTTAAAAAAAAATTATGTAAAAATACGTACCTATGTATTTTTAGAAAACAGATAAAATCACACCTTGGAAGTTCCTATTGTATAAAATACTATTTAGAGGTGTAATGAGTGCCGAATAAAAACTTTAACTCACATAAAATACAATATGAAGTCTGTATTGCACGATAAACGATTATTCACTTATTTTAATTTCATTTATTTTTTCAATCCTTATCGTTCAGCATTTATGGTCACCATACCTTGTTGATTTTTGTATGCCCTGATATAATATAGGTGATACTCATGAGTTATGACTGATTCTGACGAATAATTTAAACCAAAATGTATTGTTAGGAAAATCCAATTGAGACAACCGGTTTATTGTCAAAATAAAAATATTATTAAAATCTTGAAGTTCTGCATCACAGCATCAAGATCAAGTTAATTAAAACATGACACGATTGGATAGGGTTCGTATACAAAAACGAATTTACAATATATATAACTATTAGTGTTCGTATTTTAAAGGTTTATATACACCGTTATATTAACGTCAAGCAAAAATTCAAACTATCCACGGTTTTTTACAATATCCCATACCTACTGAAACTTTCCAACACAAATTTGTTGTTAGTATCTATTATTTATAATATATTATGCTGTACCTCTATATCTGAGTGTTTGAAATTTTCTGATGAAAAAAATATTGATATGATAAAAAAAAGATTTTATAGTACAGTAAAATCCAATAGCTCCTCTCAGATTCTAAAACACAGAGTATACTTTCATGCCACGATTACACAAATAACAATTAAAACTAACGTCCATACAATATAACAATACAAAAAGTACATAACAATTAACATAATAATGTTTTAAACCCAAAATAATCATAATTCATAAGTAAAGTATAATGTATTTTATCACATGTAAATTTGTTGCAGAATGTACCTTATAATATCGCAATTCAGCTGGAACTCAATTGTACACTTTTAATGATTTTTACCTACATTTTGATATAATAACAACGATCTATAGGTAATCTAAATATTATCATAGTACCAAGGTATATTTATTAAAATATTGTTTTCATCACTTTTGAATTTTTGATACAATTTTTTGTTTTTAAATCACTTTAAAAAAATGGCATATAATAATACGTATTAGGAGTTAGCACACGTAGTAATAGCATTCAAATACCAATAAAAAATACCTTAAGCAACCAGTTTATTTAAATAATCATTACCATTACCTACTCAAGTTATGAATATTTTATCCCCGGCACATCCTACAATTTTATAGAAAAACCCGAGAAGCCTGTTTTGATTAGATCGAGCCAATTACAACCAGACACATTCTCTGATACTGAGTAGGATTGGATATAAATACGAGTAGAGTAGGTACATTTTATTTTTAGTGTTCTTAAAGACTTTGAAAAGGTGACATAAGAGCTCGCCAAAATTTTTACTCTTATTAACAAATTTAAATTTTGATTCTTTTTCGACACTATCCAAAACCGAAACTCTTCTTCTGAGGACAAAAAAGTCGTTTGTAAGTATTTTTAATAAAAGCTTATCGAATTCTCTGTCAGAACTAATAAGTAAAAATATAATATTATTGTATTATTTGTTAATCTGTAGTTTATACACCTAAAACGGCTAAACCCTATTAATATTAAACAAATTTTAAAATTAATCACATCATTACCAAATTATAATATTGTATACTTGGTTTAATAATTCAGTTGTACATAGTTTCTATAATTTGAGGTACAATTGTTATTACAATAAATGATAAATTAATCTCAATTTGCAAGACATTATTTAAAATACTAATTAATAATGAGTTCTATGAATGAATTAGTTTTGGTTTTTATTTCAATTAATTTTATTTTCACCACTGTATCTTCAAAAGATTGTGATGCAATTTCCAATTTTTTTATAAAAAACAATTTAATGTTTCTGAATTCAACGGAATCCGTTGTATTTCTTCCGACAGATTTTGAATACCAAGTAGAAGAGTGGAAAGATTTTGATGGTGACCATAATGAATACCATAATTCGATTACGTATAATGACGAACTCATGAATTCACTCTCGGGAACTGACTTGAGTATAAGTGATGAAGAGTTAACTGGTGCCGCATACAGCAGTCTCGTTAATAACGAAAAGTTACATGATTTAGTTAGCGTTTTTTCGAACAGATATATAGTTAGAACTGGAAGCTCCACTAGAGTATTTACAATTGACTATGCCCAATTTTATTATCTTGAAAAAACAAAATGTGATAAATTTCAAGTGCAATATACGAAGTCAGTAATAAAAGGATTAATTTGCAAAATTACTTATGTCACTGGTTTGAGGTATACCGTAAAATGTGGCAGTGTCGTTTTAGAATTATTGCCACTTGACAAAAATGGAGAACTTGAATATGAAATAAGATGCACCTAAAACCTACATTTATATAAGCTCATATTTTCCACAAACCAAAACTTATAATAGCATATTTTTATTTTATTTGTGAGACCATTTTTATTTATTCAATAAGTTCAATAAAAAACAAAAAAAAAAAACAAATTGTATTTTAAAAAGCGTTATTAAATTAAATTTATTTATTGGATTAATATATTTTCATTTAATTCCATTATGCCTACTAAATATTAACAATTTTTTGTATATTATTGTTATTCAAGACTTACATTATCTATCGATACACAAACGATAAATATTCATTTAAATTATAAAAACACACACACATTATAATGTTCTAATATAAACAGTGAAACCTCTAAATACCCGATACTCTCAGGCCTCAGCTACTGAAATTTTTTCCCTATTCAGAGTGTTCAGTTGGTAGAAAGTTTGTAGTTTTTTCCCCAACAAAAAGTTTTTTGTTATTTGGAGGTGTCCGCTATTTAGAGGTTCCGTTAAAGGAGGACTCACTGTATTATATTTATATTGTGTGTCCTACCGGACCGAATACACGATCTGTTTTTATTTTCTGTTTTACTCTAAAAGTCCTGTGCGTTTAGGTATATATTTTTAGGTCATATTTTGTTGAAAACTGAAGGACCCCTTAAGGTGTTGAGGCACAATATCAAATAATCAAAATGCCTTTATAGACGCTCAATAGGAGTCGTAAAAAACACAGAGTATTCTTCACGCCATGATTATAATAATAATAGAATATTAACAACTAAAACAAATTAATAATAAATATTTGTAGCTATAGAAAGTTAAAATTAAAACACCACTTATATTAGAATTTAAACCTCCTAAAATTTAAGATGACTTGTGCTTATATGATTATATTTTCGGAATCGGTGATATCTTATGTCATTAATGTTTAATAATCTTTTGATGTGTTAAATTTAAAACAAATACTGGTTATCATCAAATTGATTGTATTAAAGCCTATAAATATGTAATAAAATAACACTAACTAAATTTAAATTTAAATTGATGTTTTAAACTAGAAATTTTTGATAAATAATATTAAATGCATTGGTTTTTGTTATCATGTTATTAAGTATAGGCACGTTTTATATTGTACACATTATTCATTATCATTATACCAAAAAAAAAAAAAATGTTCAATAAAAAAATAAATATGTAACTATATAGGCAACATGTTAAATGTATATTTGATTGAACTATCATTATTGTACGACTAGAGAAAACTTCACAAACTTCAACTCCAGGGTCATCTCAAGTTCCACACTATTTATTCCAAGCACTTGGGACCTAATAGAGCGTGAGCAATGATTATATTTAAAGCTATAACTGACATGTTTATTAGATGAATATTTGTTTCAAATATTATCAACACGGAAATCGCATATGTATGAATTATTTATTCTATGAGGTACAAACACCCGCATAAAACTAAACAACATTTAAATCGTAAAATGCATTTTATGAAGGAATAAATTAATAAACGCGTCATAATACGATGGTATTACGTATTACTACCTACCAGCAAAACAATTATGTACAGCGACGAATAAATAGCAATTATGAAGAAATACCATTCAAATTAACAGAACTGATTTACCAATTTTCTATTACATTATGATATGAATGAAATAAAATTCACAAATAAACTGTCAGTATATTGAAAATTAAAATATAGCTTATACGATATAAGTTATATCACACAATCTATTTTGACCCACAGTGTGAACACATAAATTCCAGGCCATCAAAACTTCGAACAAAACCACGCTGTTCACATACTCTTCGTCTCTTCATACTAAATATTTTTTATATTTTTTTTATATAATAATATATATATATTTAATATTAGTATAAATTTAGCATAGGTTATAACTGAAGTGTATTATTGCCATTAAAATATCTAATAAATGTTTTTGTCATCCATGTAAAACATGTATTATATATTTATATGTTTATTCATATAGGTTCATTATAATCTAATATGTAAATTATTCCATTTTCAAAATTTAACTCATAAAATTAAAGAAAAAACATATGTAAGTTCTTGTCGACTTATTTAAACGTTACTAACTGCGACTTAGCACAACTTCACCGAACAGTTCAAGGAAAAATTAAATTATCATATTATTACTATAGGTACTTACCTATAATGCCAATAATAGGCAATGATAGTACTAGAATATACGCCAGGGACTAGATATAGGCAAAAACTATACGCTGACGGTCCAAAACGTATATTTTCATATTTGTAACGTCGTACAGTAATAATAATTATCGCACATTCGACTGACGAAAAAAGACTCGATACCGTGAAAATGTCTCTGTGAATCGTCGGACCAGTAAGTATTATAAATAATGTTAAACAGAATAGAATTAATTTACCAAATATAATATAGAGGCGTTAACAAAGGTACAAATTGTTCATCACGCCAACTCCGAATGATTTATTTTAGAAAATCGTTTTACACACGTTATCTTCGATCAGAAAATGCACTATCCAAATCAGGTAAGTATACCTTTTGTTAAATACATCAAAAGCTGGGAGGTGAATACCGCCGTTCTGTTCTATGACACAGTTTAGCATATCTGCATATCTATGGATACCGAAAACGGCAAGAACAGTAAGTTCATTGTGGGTCAGGGGCGTCATTTGGGGGGAGCAGGGTGTGCAACGGCACCACTAATTTAAAAAAGTGTCAACAATGGGCCCGCCATTAATACTCCAGCCCGTCGTCAAAATTAACTTAAGCTCGTACATTATGATTTTATATATATAGGTAATATAAATAAAATGTATATTTTTTCAAGTTGTTGTATATTTTTGTGTATCAGGCTTATTGATTATACCTTATTAGCGTTTTTTTTTCAATTAACAGTGAAATGGCTTTAGCTGGTTGCTTTAATTGTTTAAAAGCTTTTAATTCTTTGAATTTCTAGCTATTTAAAAGTTTCATTAGTCGTTGCGAGTTTCAATTATAGAACTATAAAAGGGAAGGAAAGAATATTTACATAGGTTTGCATAGGTTATCTACATTTATATGTATAAATATATTTTTTTTTAGTGGCCTGGGGAAATGTCAATATTGGCTTGTCTAAAAGTTTTCACACCCAGAAAAAAACTGAAATGACGCCCCTGGTGTGGATTACCGTTATATCGAAGTGATATAAGAGGAAGCAGAGCCGTGACCAAAAAACATATAATTAATTGTTTATGTAATAATGTTAACACATACCATTAATTAAAAAGTAATTCATTTTTAATATTTGAGAATAAACAGTAAAACTTCGTATCCGCTCGCCTTATAAGCAGACTTCAGATGTGACAGAGGTCAATAGATTCAAAGATTTGAGCTAAATTCAATACAACGTGAATAGGTATATACGCACGAGACGGCACGACACAGTTAAAATTTTTATATTTTATAGAAATAAGTTTTGATATTCTAAGGCCATCCCATCTCCCTGTTAGATACACCACTATGATAATAAATATATATTATGGACCTTAGTGATTCACAATAAAGTAACATTGTATGACGATGGCATTCGTGTGATACGAATGTCAAACATCACTGAATATTGAAACTATTTTACAACTCCAAAAGGTTGTACAGACACAGAATTAATAAAATGTAGGCAAGTTCCAAGTTGGAACCACCCTACTTTACAGGTATCCTAGGTACCTAAGTGTCAAGTATAATGGATAATATGTTTGTTTATATTATTTCAATATAATATGACATTATGTCAGCCAATATCACTAAGACGTATATTATATCATATTACTAGGTATATTACCATATTAGTCAAAGTTAAAATATCATTATATAATTAAAATATAATAATATTAATAAAATATTTAAATCCTGACGAAAAATATCTTTGAGTTACAACAAAATAATTCAAATTGTTTCACTTCGTTTCAAAATACTTTTGTTTAAATAAACTTAAAATTTCCATACAAAAATTGTGATTTCTGAACTTATATAGTTGAGATTTTTTAGTATTATTCAACCAAAATGAGCTAATTAGTATGAGTTACAATTTAACGTGATGTATTATTTCGCTTTTCACGTATGCATATTATTATCAATTTGTACAACAGCTAACAACTACCAATAAATTATATCCTACCTGCAACTCGATGAGGATACTGAGTGTAAGTATTTATTTATTTGGTTCTTACCTGACATCTCATGCTCTTCTCGTTTGCGATTTGGCTGTTCGACCTGCGACTCTGGACTTCGGTGAGAACTGAACTCGAGGTGATCATTGTGCATGACATCGACTGCCTGGGTTCAGAACTGGTCCAGTACCAGTCTTCGTCAGCGTAAGCCCACCCGCAACCATTGTACGTTGTGTGAGTAACCGTACTGGTAGCCACTGCGTCCGGATCGGCCAAGCTTTGTCATCGCCGTTGAACGACTTTGTTGTAAAATTTTGTTCAAATTTTGTGTGACCACGACCCAGGGCCGGATTTGAAAGAGGGTTTTAAGGTCACTTGCCCCGGCCAGTATATATTTGGAGGACATCCGGATGCCGGAATATTAAAAAAAAATTTCAAACTTTTTGACCCTCAGTTTAGGAAATCTATGAAAAAAAATTTAGAGTAACCTAGGGTATAACATCAAACAGGTAAAAATGAACTATAATATTGTGTGTAAATAATTTAATATTTACCATCTGGACAAACTTTTTTGTTATTATGATTTTGTTATCATATCCAAACCTGATAAAAACGTTTCTCGACATTTAATGAAGTTTTGGCGGCAATATGAGAGTATTAATTTTGTTCGTTTGATGTAATATTTGAGTATTATAGAAATAGTGACTACTGACTAGTGATATAATATATAAGTTAACGAAAATTTGGTGTTGCTTTCATTTAGTGTAATATAATAATTACAAACTACTAATAAGCTGAGCTAGTTATAGGCATATGATATTTCCGATAAAATTTTTTTTTTTTTTAATTAATATCGATAAAAAGTATTCGGTGGTTAAAAAAAACTTTAAAATGTAACATAAGATTCCTCGTAAATTGCTGTTTGTTGAAATTTAAAAAAATGAATCCACATTATTTTTGCATGAGCGTTTGAAGTTTGAACGGGGGCTGCTTGCGTGCGGCACTTGGTATAGGCAAAAACTACACCCCAAGGTTAGTAGTAAAAATAGTAAAAATTTCTCATTATCAGGGGCAGTGTTTGAATATAAATAAATATAATTATGGTATGTTTGATTGCTGTGAAATGACACAAAATATTGTGAAAATATCACTGCAGATCGTCGTCTTGTCAAACGTATTAAAAAAAAAAAAAACATTTTTTCAATACATAGAAATCGAATTTTAGACGAGTAGTTTATGTTTTTTTTATGAAAAAAATAAGGAGTAAACTTCATGAGTATCTAATGTTTGGGTCAGTGGAGTGAAATTCGGTACAGGTGTAGTGTGTATCCCGTAAAATATGGGTATTGGCACTACTCAGTACTACACCGCTCATCTAAATTTAAAAAAATATAACTAATAAGCAATTTGTCCGAGATTTTTATAGATTGAAATACTCTGAATAAAACTTCTTTGGAATATGAATTTAAAATAATGTCATTCAACAGTAAAAATTACATTCTTTTCATAAATGTTGTTTTGTAATGGTTTTAAATTATAAAAAGTAATATTTTCAAAAACGTTGACGTTTTCTGAAATAAAACAACCCAATTTCTATATAGTATATTATTTAAAAGTTGTGCATCACATTAAATTTACCTCTATGGCAGGGGTCGGGAACCTGCGGCTCTTTGGAAAATTCCCACTAATATTAAGTAGATACGTTTTTTTGTGTTATTGTATTTAATTAAATAATATTATATTTGTATAAATAATATTAATAATAATGAATTAATGAAACAAAGATTTTCTATACATACTAAATTTAAGACGTAAGATGTATCATTATGTTTTTAATGTCTACCAATTTTTTTTTCAATGAAATAATAATACTATCTTTATTCTAATATTCTATAATATACTGTCTATACTAACTACAACTCAAATAAGGTTATTCAAACCTGTTCGGCTCCCTGGACTTCATGGTTTTTGTCATTTTTTCGAAAAAATGGCTCTTTCTTACGAAAAGGTACTCGCCCCTGCTCTATGGGCTGTGGCTCTAGCAGTCATATTTCATAAATAAGTGTTGCACATTTTAACCATAGGCATATTATACAATAACGTCATTGTATACATCTATTAACCCTGTTGCTGGGGAATAGAATTGCAGCATCAGTCTGATCCAACTTGATCGTAAGAGGCGACTATAAGGATCAAACAGGGAACAATGATGGTCACAAAGGATCCTATCATCCAGTGCCCGGAGTACCCTAGTCCCATTAGGTCGATGGGGACCAAATGGGACAACAAGGCCAACCACTAGCCGGCCTGGGTAGCTAGAATAGTGGGAGAGATGGCAACATCTCGGGTTGACCAACTGACGTCAACTCAAAACCCAGTCAGTGCCGCGGGAGAGGGGAGCCCCACTGTACGTCGGACCGGCATGCCGCTCCGAAAACAGTGCCCCTCAAGGTTGAGGTGCCTATCTCGGCTGCAACGCGGTGGCCGTGGGACCAGCGCTAGATAGTAAACAATCACTGAACCTTAGTGAGAGGACGGAACCCTAAGGCGAAAGCCGACCGAAATCAGAAAGGTACGCGCTCGTCGCGGTGCTGGTGGTCCCTATGACGACCCGGGCGTCGCAGTAGCGGCGCCTGAACCTCTATGGCTCGTAATTAGCTCCTCTGAGCTACCACACGGTCCATAGTTGTATGGCGCAGGCCGCAAAACCCGGATGTACTCTGTATACATCTATAATAGTATAACCTTTAGGGTTATCAAATATTCAATGTGTAATCCGAAATTTTAAATTAATTAAATTTGTTCATGAACACGTGTATGTAAATATATAATGAGTAACCACTAAAATTTTAAATATTGAACATATCCAAATCAAATTTACTTATATAGGTATTATAATTTATAAGTAGTTCAATAACTTTTTTGTATACCTACAAAAACCCGAAAAGGTACCAATTAAAAGTTTAACTGTTATCAATGTTTTTTTTTTTCATTTACAATTGTCATAAAATATTGCTTTGTCGTCTGATCTAATAAGTAGGTGTATTTTATTTCAGAGGCTGTGCACCTCCTCCTCAAATCTCATCTGCCCAGACCGCAATTGTATTAACTACTAAATCTGCATAACACCTTACCCCTTTACACAGGAAAAATATTTGCGAGTATAATACAATAATATTATATAATAATTTCCGTGTATTGTCACAATAAAGTTACACGTAATGTATTCTATTTTTTATGTGCATACAAATTGATTGAAATTTATCTTGACAACTCAATCCTTCCAATTTTATTGTCACAATAAACGTAGATTAGCAATTTCCATTTTATTTTACTACAACGCACTATATTATTGTGAATGATCTAATCATACGAAAATGATAAATATCATTAAATGTTAATCATCAATGCAAATGTAATTCTTATAAACAAGATAAACATACATAAATTGTTACTTTTATTCATGGCTAAATATATACACATATTTAGCCATGCTTTTATTTATCCAATAAATTATATTTAATGAACAACCTATAATACAAAAAATTAATTTTGTAGGACATGGGCGATGGGCATGTTAAAAGATTAAATGTTCGGCATATAAGCCAATATCCACAACCTTCAACATCTGTAATCATATGTTGTCAATAAGTTTATTCTGCTAAGTTATAACTTATTTCACGTCTTAATAAACACGTTTCATTCTAGGTGTCAAAAGTTCAGCTGATAAGAATTACACAAATGCCCAAACATAAAGTCTTACGGATGAGGTCGACGACGTAACTATGTATTTTTATTATTTTACCCATTCACATTATATTCTATGTGATTTGTTAGAGTAGGTTGATTATTTTTTCTTCCTCATAATCCACAATCATCATTACCTATTAGGTAATATCTATAATCTTGGCAACTGAAAATTGTAAAATTATTTAACACTTTTTTTTACTATAAAGTTTAAAAGATTAAAAACTAACAATAAAAAAAATAAGCCACATTTAAATAGGTACTATGTCTAATCCATCTGTACTTTCACAAAATCAAATTTGTAATTTATAGAATACATGGAATATTATGTGCAACATGAACATACAATTTAATATTTGTTTATATTAAAAAACACAAAAAATAAAAAGACCTGCAACACACTAATAAAAGTATTGTGCCATAAAAAATCAATGTTAAAACCTGTTGAAGAAATACAGATGAACTTGAAGAGAACTAATAAAAAATAACATTATTTTCGATCTAAATCCTTTAATATTTACCATAAAAGTACACTTAAGACAAAAAAATTATGAAGAATTAATTAAAAGTATAGTTTAAAAATATTAGACATGATAAATATTTTTATAATATTCACTCTCCTTAGCCAATAGATACCTGTGTTTCTGGTGTGACTACTGTGAAGACATTGCCAGCTAAGAAGAAATCTTTTGAAGTCTTGAAATAGATCAACATTGATTGCAAGTGGTATGTTTTCCATACAGTACTTAACTTGACTCATATAAGTAGTCAAATATCCCTATGAAATTAGAGGCTAATTCCCATTGAAGGCACGACATAATGTATTTTTACTTTACAATGGCACCACAGCGATGTTTCAACACATTTTGCCTTCTAGACTTCATATTAACAGATGTAGACACCCCCCCCCCCCATTATCTATGCGATAAAATGGTACAAGCAGCTATATCTTACGACTCTTAAATGAGATTTTTTCAAAAAATATTTTAATTAGAGCTGAGAATTATATTATATTACATTATTAATTATATAATAACCAAATTAGAAACAAATTATACATTCAATCAAATTCCAATGGGTTAACTTTTAAATGATGAGAGTGACCAGCTAGCATTGTATACCGTCGTCTCGCCTTACAAGTGTTAAACATAGTAAATTTACATTTGGCAGATCTTGTTTGATTGCTTTAATATTAAAGTGGAGTATGTACGTTCACAATTCTATCAAATAATAAAACCGATACAACAAAAATTAATTGCCTAATGTAAACTTGCTGTAACAATCGTGAACACAACAGATATGGGTGGGGCATAATTGTAAAAAATTCCTTTATATATTTGAGCAAACAGTTATCTTTTAAAATAGATAAATGAACATTTTTCAATGAAAATTTAAATATTTTGATAAGAACAAATTAATATTAGGCAAAAAGCTAAGATTAATGTTATGTTGAAAAAACAAAGTATTTAATTAATCAAATATTTTAAGACCAACAGAGATCCAAAAAAATATAAAATTTAGATGATAATAATATTATAATAAATAATAGCAATAAATAACTTAATAAAATAACTTTTGTTGTTATATTCTTTGTTTATTGTTTTATAGATATATAGTTTTATCTTGTAAAAATTATTACACATGTTATGTTATGAAGACCTTAACTTATTCGCGTTCTTACAAATTAAAATAGAAATAGAACATGAAGAAAAATAAATATTAAAATCGACTTGATTTTTTTTAAATAAAATTATAATATATCATCCATAAGGAAAATAGTTAACTGAACGCGAAAAGTGGTTAACACTTTGTTTTTGTTTCATACAGTCAATTTTTCTTAGAGATTTTAAAAATTATTATTATAAAACTTATAAGTAGTCTATGAAGAACAACAAAAAAACTTAACGTTTTTTTTTTAAATTTTTTTTTTTTAATAATACTTAATACTTAATACTTAAAATGGTAATCAAACTTTGGTTTTTAATCAGTTGTTCTCACCATTTTCTTGACTTTTGATAATTTCGTTCTGGGGCTTTTCTGCTTCTGTGTTGTGACCATTTGCGTGGTCAGTTGAATTTGGCGAAAGAGAGCCAGCATCGTTTTCGGATAAGCTCTTTCGGTTGTCCTTGTTACTGCTGCTACGTCTCCTGAATCTACCGCCATACTTTCGGCCTCCTTTGGGCGGTGGAGAAACCGGTTCAGGATTTTCAAAATGCATAATTATAGTACTAACAATGTTTTCTTTATCATCATCAGACAGTTCCGGCAATTTGTTTTTAACAGCTTCTTTGAAACCATCTTTATTTTCCTGTAAATAAGTTTAAAAATAAACTATATTTATAATCATATTAAAAATTATTATAATTTGGGAGTAAACAAAATCAATAATTTAACTAACGGTCCATAAAGATTGAAGTGTCGTATAATCAATGTTCGCTTTGGCGATTGAATTACGATAACTAATAGCTTTCTTGCGATCTAATGCTGTTGTTTGGTATGACAAGGACTTATGGTAAACTGTATTTAGTGATTTTTGTCTTGCCAATAACTCTTGAGTGCTATGCAATGTCTCTACTTCGTCATCTATGCTTGTAAGGAATGTAGATAATGCCTTGGCCTTGGTTTCTTCAGAAACTTCACTTCCAGTTACTACTTCTTTCCCATCATCATTACCACTTTCCAAAGTTACACATAAATGTTGGACAATCTAAAATAATTTTAACTGTGAATAAGCTAATGGATAAAAACATGAAACACCAAAATATCTGTTATTTAATAGATATAACAACAAAATTACTTTCAAAAATAAAAATAACTAATTTTATACTCAACTCACATCATAAGCTAATTTAGCACGATCAGTTGCCTTGGAAGTATCAATGTGATCTTTATCTAAGAGAACCTTTGACAGAACTCTAAGTGAAAACATAACCATAGTATCTTGACAATGAGTTTGAGCAAATGAATGGCAGTTGGCAAATCCTTTGACTACTTCAGAGAATTTATCTAATAAATTATAGCTGTAAGAACAAAAAAAAAAACAATATATTACAAGAATAAATATAGATAAATATATTGTTTTCTTACGCAAGAAGAGACTTAATTAGAAGACAAGTGTTGAATTTGCTAACTTCATGGCACACTAAAATGGCCATTTTCTTACCATTGTCTTTCAACATTTGTTCTAACCATTCTATAAATTCAGCTAAAGCAGATATTTCACTTTTTGATTTTAATGTCTAAGAAAAAAAAACCCATTAAATAAATATCATTAAACATAACAAATAGATAGAAAGAATTATTAAAAGGTAATAAGGAAATATTTAATAGATACATCTGAAGATATTTGAAATTCATTCAAATGATAATTTAAATTTCATAAATACTACGAGAATCTTTTAGCATAGTTACATAACGTAATGTAATGCAAGAACAATCATGTTTTGTAGTATTTGTGATATTCTCTATTATCAAGCAAATGTTTTTTAAACCCAATTAACAATTTATTTTACAGATAGCTTGATTTTGATGGTTAGGTAGATAACTACAGTTATAAACTTAAATTTAGAAAATATAGGTAGATAGTTTATAATAATTTGAATGTTGAAAGTTCCATATGTGACACTTAAAAATCGATAAACTATAAAATATGAAAACAAATTATTTATTAAACTATGTATTGTTGTTAAATATCTCACTCTATTATTTTTAATATCTTTTAATGCACGGAAACGTCCCATTGTTATAGTGCACAAAAGATGGCGTCTCCTGGCTACTTGATCAATGTCATTGTGTGGCATTATATATTGATTAAACTGTGAATTTGGTGTGTGACCAGCAATATGGCATATTTCATCCAGCAAACGGCGTCCAGTTGTGTCTATATCCCAGCCAATGACCATGTAGTCGGACAAATTGTCCAGCGTCACAGTGTTATTGCTGACTTCTACAATTTCGGTATTTCGAACCATTTTGCTGTAAATTAATTTAAAAATTGTGTTATAAGTAGGTAATCCTAAAACTGTAATAAATACCTTTGTATTAATTAAAATATTTTTGAATGTTGGAAATATTATTGAAATGTTCTTTATTTAATGCAACTGATCAACAAATAAATTTATAAAAACAAACTAATCAAACCTAATATAATATTACCTTTCAAAACTTCTTATTGTCAGGAATAGAATGAAAATTATTAAATTTATTTTGATTACGAAAAATTCCCGTTTACGTAATACGATGTTTAAATAGTTTTAATGTGTACTGTGTTATTAGAGTAATAGACTGATAATTCGTTCTCAGTACCTTCCTAATAGATGATATATATATATAATATAAAAACTCTAGTGTAATATTTATTCATTAATAATCGTATACCTACCAAAAATATTAAAACTCCAGAGAAATTTAGTAGAAATGCTGTTGCACAACACGCCGAAATTCGGAACTTGAACAAACTAAAACATCGTACGTTTAAAAACTATCAACCATTCCCAGACAACAACGCCTATCGAATCGTCTAAAAATACAATAAAACCGCAAAAATGTGAAACCCAAGCAACACACCGTGAAAAACCTAGAGGACTTACGATAAAAAAGGTATTAATAGATTAATCGCTTCAATAACTATTATCGATACACCGGTAAAGCGACTGTCGAGTGTCGACCACCTTGTCCAAACTCCAAAGTTTAATTTTAAAAGGTCTTAACGACAATTCGCACGACCGTAAAATTACGAAGTCTGCGCACGACGGTTTTTCTCGAGATAGCGGAGGTTAATAGCGGCGGCCAACCGAGATAACGTTACGAAATATCGAACACGATAATATTATTTTATTAATATACGATGATTGTTGTTGTCATTATTTATCGCCAACCGCATGGGCAGCCAGGAATTCGGCCTAATATTAAAACGAAAAAACCGTAAAGCCGTAAAACCGTGCAATAACCCCGCAAAACGACACGGACGGCGCGTACGAAAATACGATACGACGAGCGACACGAAAACGAGTTTGGCGCCGATGAAAGTTCCGAGGACGACGAGAAACGGAACGACGTCGTCTAAAACCGAATATTTTTATTGCATAACACGTTATCGATGTGGGTAAATCCGAAAATGCCTCGGGCGATCGCTGTATCCGAGAGGATTATCGCATTGATATTTGGCATGACGTACGCGCACCGGACCGCCGATTGACGCGAGGAAAAGACCGAAAGAGATGCGAGCCGGACCGACCGAAAAACCGAAAATAAATCATAACAAACGTCTGAACGTGTCCTCGTCAAAAACGTCCGAATTCATATGATTTTCGCCGTCCGTATTCCGTGCGGCGCACGTCCTTGCGCGGTCGGCGGCCCGAGCGCGCGCGTCGCACATGTCTCGCGCGGTCACGGCCTAACCCTTTCGAAAAACACGAAATCAAAAAAACTCGTTATCGACGACACACACGACCGCGATCGTTTTAAACACCGAACGACGCCTACTTGGACGAGGTGCATTTCTCACACCGGCCTGCGACGACACGACACGAATGTCGTCGTTGTTTTGTTATTAAAATAAAAAATCAATCGTTCACGGGTACGTTGGTCGAATTACAAAAATAATAATGTTTTGGAAGCAAAAAAAAAATAGGACTCACATGATCTGACGATGTGACGACGATGTCGGAAAACGTAGACGTACACGTGCGAAACTGCAGCGGCTCTCCGTCGGCGGTGGATAAAAAAACGTGTGTGCGGGTCGGCCTCGGAATCGGATCCGGTAACTCACTGACGGTCGGCGGAGACGTGTGCGCGTGCGCTCGTCCGACGAAGTATCAAAATAATAATAATAATAATAATAATAATAACGTTAAACGTAGTAATGGTTGTGAAATAACGACGTCAAAGCGCGACCGGTGTGTGTGGTGGGAGACGTCGTCCGAGGGAGAGTGTTGCAACGACAGGTTTTGCCGGAGACCGATTACCGAACGGCCGGGGGACGGGCGCGCGAATTCAAACGCGACAATGATAATAATATTATGATGGATAACATCAATAATTATTATACTCGAACATTCTTCTCTTAGACTGCAATGAAATATTAAAATCCGTCCCGAATCTCAAACCGCGGTTTCGAAACGGTCGTACGACGTCGAGTTGCCAACTCGACTCTAAGGAGATCCGATTTTCTGGTCCTCGCCCAAAACACGCTCGACGTGGATCTATTAGAAGGGATGAGAATTCTGAAAACAGATGTGAATTTGTCGTCAAGACTGCATGAGATCGATTTTCCCGCATTTTTTTGACCTCCAAATTCTTAAAAACTTTATATTAAAAAAGAACGGTTGAAAAATTGTCATACTTCGATTTTTCGGAGGAGTTGAAATCAAAAGTGTGGGATGGTCGATCTCGAGTAGACTCGACGACGAATTCAAATCTGTTTTCAGAATATTCTTATCGCTTCCCGATATCAATCGGTACGTTTGGAAAAGAACATGACGTCTAAAATCCTATGTCGCAGGTGTGTTGGACAGAGACAGAAAATCACGGTATCGAATCAGCTTAATCTTAAAACCGAACGATCGGAAAAAAACCGTAATAAAATTTCTGTTCGGTTTCCTATAGGTACCTGTGTAAATGATCCTTGATTCCTGATGTATATTAGTAACTCTGAGCTTTGGGTACAAAAAAAAAACCGATATTTGGTATATTTTAATCTATTCTGTGGGGTAATACGTCCTATTTCAGAGCGATGTTATTTAAAATGGAAAGATTTCTCGTTCATTTAAATTCTCACCTGACCTATTACAACCGTTGACACCTCTAGAATCTAGGTCGTAGAGTAAATATTATTAAATCAAGTATTTACTCCACGCACGTATGTATATTGCTTGCGACGTACGCCGAGCAATGAGCATAGTATAACGATACCATGACTATTAAATAACAATTCAATTTGTACCAAATATTATGGTATTGTATAATATTGTGAGTTGTAATAACTATCTACCAACTGAATTAATAATTTTAAAAGTATAATTGTATTTAGTATCGAGGTCGACGACGTTCGGTTGGGCGTACAAAAAGCCCGGAAAAGCATGAATATTATATACATTTTCACTTTTTAGGTTATTTGCAAATACTGTAGATTAGAATACTGCAACTGGTAAGTTGGTTTTGGCATTGATCATAGATCATGTTATTAGATGTACGTTGTATGATCTGGGGTTTAGTGCTTACATAGTGTAAAACTGTAAAGCTCAAAATGTATGCGGTTGCCTAATCAGTCCCTTTTTCTACATCACTTAAATGTACTCTACAACTAGTAAAAATTATTTGAAATCATACGATACCAAATGGTATAGGAGTATAGGATAATATAATTTAAATTTAAAATTTGTAATATACCCGTGTAGGTACATATTTGTAGTGTGCTAAATAGCAAAACAATTAAACAACACATTTATCAATTATATCAGTATTCCATTTCGAGTCGTTTAAAAGTATCTAAATGTACTTGAGAGGACTGTACACCCGGAATGTGTTGTCTCTGTTTTACAAATATACAACATAGCAAAAACTATATTACGCGGGATAGAACCACTCAGTCTGTAGTTCCTGTAGTAGAGTGACACCAAAAGTTTACATAGTATACTTATATGGCTATCTACAAGATAATACTTTTGGTGTCGTAGAGTTTTTATTTGTTTGATTATCACACTAATAAGGAAAAAGTTATAATACTTTAAAAACCTGATATTTTAACGTTTTCTAAACTAAAATATTTTTTGATATATTGGTCTTATCAAAAAATAAAAAGGCTACAACACAGTCGACATTTTTCTCTATTCATTGTGAAAATTAGGTTTCTTAGTTATAACTTGTAACTTATAACTGGAATTTCTTCGAACGAAACAGTTCTTGCTATGTCTTACATATTTTGTAAGAAGGACTCCTTCTGAAGGAGACAACACATGCGGGAGTAGCGTCGTTTTTATATATTATTGTTGTATCAGTTATTCTATTATTTTTATAATTTACTTATTTAATAATATGATTTTACTATGGGTAGAAAACTTTGCCTTGTAATTACTTTCAATAATACAGAAAAAGAAAATCTTGGAATTGCATTCCATAGATTTCCAAGTGATCGAGTCATGTAATTTTCATTTTTATTTCGTTGGAATCCTAATTTAAAAATACAGCTTAAAGGATATTCCACAAAGAGAAAAGCTGATAAAAATGAAGTCATAAAAAAATTGATTTCTTGTGATTCTCAAAATGAAGATTTTAGTATAGAGATGATGGATTTGTCAACATGAAAACATATCTTATTTGAGACCAAGCATCAAGGGCAGAGTAGTTAGGCGAGCTATCGATACATTTCTGTGGGAAGGTAAAAATAGGTAAATTGTATATACAGGTATATATAGTTGCTGGAAAATAAAGTGGAGGATCCAATGATTCATTTTGGAAGGACAAAAGTACAAAACAATTTACTCCAAGACTACATACGTCCACACCTACTGCACTGTAGTGGAAAGTACAGGCTAAATTAATACATAGGGCGACTAATGGGCTTGGTGGAAGCGGGGGTAGCAACTTTTCTGGATTGCTTTTGGAAAGAAGATATTAGTGTCTTGAAATTATTATTTAAGTAGGTAATTGAATCAAAAGTATCAGATAAACTTCTGATTAATGAGAAGATTAACAAGACTGCATACAAATCAGTTTTCAATGTTAAGGTCAAAAGGAAGAAGTAGGTAACAATCTCACACAGTCACACCGGATGCTTCAAAATTTCATCAGTATGTGCACATGTAATACTTTATAGGCACCATCCAAAAGTAGAAATTGTGAAACTGAATGTTATGCAGTTGAGTTCTTAACTAAATGCAGTGAGCTAAAATAAATTAAAATACAGTTAAAAGCAGGTAATAAATTATGCAAATTATGAATATTTCTGAATATAATACCTACTGTGAATATTCTGTTCAAGATTTACACTTACATATTATATCTTCAATGAATATTCATAATATACTTATGGAGAATCATGAATCTTGTGTGATAGATTACATATAGCAGGATGGGCCAATGGGTGTGTAGTTAACTGACTCATCAAGAATGTATAGACAAGCTAGAAGCCAAAAAACAATACATAAATAAGAATTTAAAGTTAAAAATTCTGTAAATAGCTCAAATAAAAATATTTTGAAAATTTTATCAAGTATCGAGAAAATAACAAAATAAAGATTTGAGGTACATTTCAAGTACCTATGGTAATTTGTTTTTGAATAACAACATAATAAAAAAGTTGTTTCATAAGAAATCGAGTTAATATATCCAATACTGTAAGTTCATATATTGACGCATAAAAATTTTGTTTGACTCTCCGGTAGACATTTTTTTGTTTGCTATTGGTATTTACAACATTTAATATCCTAAATATTTAGCAATTACATGCTTAAATTTATAAAGTATTTGCAGAGTATAACGTGTGTACAAATTAATTGAGTGATATTTACAGTTAAATATACGTGAATAAACAAAAAAAAATATACATGGACACGTTTTCATTGAATACGTTCACAACAGCTTCCTGTGGTTTTCTATCACATGCTGTCTTATCTCTTTGGCCTTAGCCTTTCACCTTCTACTTTATCCTCTTCTCCTTCTTCAATATTGTATGCATACAATCTCCATAGTGCCTCTGTATTACACTGTAATGGTAGTCGTACATTAATATTTTTGATATGTCAAACAAAGAAAACCTAAAGAAAATTAAAAAAATGTGCTAATAAAATAAATGTGTAATATAAAAATTTAATGTATATTTATTATTTACCAATATATATATATATGTTTATCAAACGGCATTATCTTGGTAGCCATACACCTTTGAATGTAATCTTGTTTATTAGATTTCTGTAATCAGGTATTGTTTGAAAACAATTCAAATTTAATTTGTTTCTGTTTCGATTGCATAGTCTTCCATAGATAATGTCACTAAAAAAAGTTTAAATAGAATAAAGCAACCATAGACCTTATACTAATAGACAGAGCATGCCTGACCAGCAGGGTTGGGTTATGCGGTCATGGCAATTTGTGTTACATATTATATACAATAATAGCCAGTTATTGTATCATCTAGTGTGCATTTGGGATGTAAGATTTACTACCTTGATCAGCGCCGCCACAAGTGGACGCCTGAACTCCTTCTATTAATATAAGGCAGCCATACTTAACCTGCGGCCCGCCAATGGCTTATATGTGGCCCAAAGTCTAAACAGAACTCATTGAATTGATGAAAAAATTAATTTAAGCATAAAATAGGTATAACAGAACAATTATAGTGTGTTCTACTGATTACGATAAGGATGATTATGTTTTTGGTATTTTTACTGATTATATTTTATAAGGATTATGATGTATTTTATCTTAATAGCTAAAATGGCCGTAACTCGATATGTAAATTTGGAAGTTAAGAAAAGCGAGAACAAAAAGAATACATCTATTTTGGAATTTAGTGCCAGGAAAATACAAAACCATACAAAAATGTGCCTACCTTTTTTTCAATCACTGTTCCATTCATTTTGACTTGCGAGTTGCGGCTCATGTAATATTTTAAAATATTTTGTGGCCAAATAAAAAAAAAAGGAAGAGTATAGCTGGTATAAGGTCTATGAAAATAACATAACAAATACAGCGTTGAAGAAATCTTTTTCAAATTCGTTCCAAGCTTTCTCCCTTATCTTAATGTTCATCGCAATATACTTGGGAAGCCACTGGTCACGGACTAAGATATATCTTAGTCCGCGCCACTGGTCAAACTCCATAACTCTATGTATCTACAAAATATATGAAAAAAAAATGTTTTAAATCAGTGATATAAGTGTAAAATAAAACATTTACCTTTCCATCAATTAACCGTTTGAATAGGAAAGACAACAATTGACGTTATTTCTTAATTCTCATTATGCCCGAAAACCAACAGAGCCAGATTTCCGTTGAGTCTTGTCTTCAACCACAGATATATATAATAACTAGATACCCGACTTCTTCTTATCAATGACGCTGGCAGCCATTTACAACTATGGCAATGTTTACAATGATAACAATAGTTCATATCAAACAAGTCTGTTGCCCAACTTACTGACTACTGAGTACTGACCCTTTTTCGACGATTATTGTAGGTATTTGACATTTGTATAATATTATTAATTTAAGATGGTGATGTCATGTTGTGTACATTTTTGCACGAATCGACATTCAACAAATGGAGTTAGGTTAATCCCTTAATATTTCTAAGTAAGATGAAAAAATTATTCATTACTGTAATAATAAATTTTCTCTGGATCAAACTATATTAAAAGAATTAGATTGCACTAATATAAGTATTTTGGAAAGACCTCATAAGATGATAATTATTAGTTTATTAACAAAAAAGTACCTGAGTGTTAGGCTTAAATCATTGGGAAAAACCACTTCAAACATTTTTGCAGTTAGTAAACGTCAAAAACTGACAAAATTGATTTTGTTTGCTAATCAGTTATTATTACCACATTTTGAAATAGGCAGCTTACAGTCAATTCCATTATTCATATTCAATGATTCTTTGATTTAAACTTATATTTTTAGGCTTACAGTAAATCGTACAATGTAAAATGAGTTGAACTTAACTGGTTCATCCATCAATTATGGTTTAATTATGTATAACTGTATAAGAATACTTGTAATAATATTAATTTTATTAAAAAATAATTATATTATGAGTATATTGTTATGAAATATTTGTATCAATTGTATCACAATGTATGATATCAAAACGATTAAAAAATGATAAAAATTTGTAAACATTGCCATAGTCACAAATGGCGTAGGGCATCATAATTTAATAACGTTGTGGTATATGGAGTCGGGTATCTAGTTATTATATATATCTGTGTCTTCAACAAAGGTTTAAAAAATTAATGCGTGTTGGTATTATCACAGAATAGATTAAGTTATCAACATGTACGAGATAACGAAGTATGTGCTACTATCTATTGGCCATCTGAGGAAAAAACCATTTACACAAAATAACTATAAAACGTCAAATTACGTCTTCGCTTTGATCTATATAACGATATTTGTATAAAAACCATTCACTCTCCGAGTGGTCCATACTAGTGCGCTTCGTAGTTAGAGAACATGACCATCTCACGAGAAAATTTAGACAAACTTTGAGTTACAAAACGTAGTATTACCTACGTATTGTTCTGTGGTAATACCCAGTGACGGTTTTGACATGCCTATTTTTCAAATATATTGAAAAAATATTTTGATGTGTGCTAAGAAATTATTCTCATGCGATGGTAAATTGGTAAGTACTAATGAATAGTTGGGATTTATTTATATTTAGACGCATGATGGGACGTGCATGAAAGTTTTAATTTGGATGTATGTGTGTGTTGTACCTATAGGAAAAGGAACATAATATAATATTAATATGTGCTTTTGAGCGATTGGTTTTTTTTTACCCATTTGGGCTGGTATAAACTTTCACCCCCCCCCCCCTCCCAACTAACTGGCGTAATTAAAAATGTGCTTTTTTGTTTTTAATATCTAATATAATTCACAACGTTGTACATAAAAATTACAATTAATTATATATATAATATTATACAAATTCAAGTCAATTTTTTTTTGTGACTAGTTGTCATAGTCATCGGTATAATTGACGTATTATTTGACGATACGTTTTTTTGATAATCGATAAACGGATAATACCTACAGTGTGATCATTTTAGTGCTCACGAGGTCTTTCCGAACACTATCGACAAATCGGTAATTGGTGACTATAGTCACTATACAGTACTCGTTGAATGTAGAGTCTCTTTATTTTTAAGATATATCGTCGTTATTTATAAATTATTTTTTCGAAAAATATTATTACTCTGGACTCAATTTACCTAACACGTTAAAGTTTGCCGGACTCAATTTACTTAGTCCTATAATATCCACCCAATTATTGGGGAATATATTGGGTCCCAATGGCACAGCAGTATTATATACCTAATGGCTAATACAGATCTGAATACAAATTGTACTTAAAATATTATAATTTAATATATACTATACTAAAGCTGGCATATTACGACTTTATGAACGCACTTACTGGTTAGTAACACACAACGCTGTACCCGTCGTCAGGTTTTTTCTGTGGCAGCTTAGGACGTTATTATAAAAATTGTGTTCATATCAATTTCCGAGCTCCAACAAGCACATTCATACGTCACCAAAACGGAAAACTAAGTCATCATAGATTACGAATGTTTCAACGTCGGCATCACAGACGCAGATCGAAGAGATGTGTACGGCGACGACAAACCTGTGACCACAATTCTATAAATGACCACCAAATTTCTTTTATTAAATTATTTTTATATAACTTCAAATAATTCAAATATAGTTCCTAAGAGGGAAGCAGGTGTGGTCTGTGAGGCTATTGCGTACCGGCAGCAACACTAAGCGTTGAAGGTTCACGCCGTGGTTTGACGAGACGACTCGCCGCCATGGCGCGGTGTGGAGACGAGTGAAAAAAGCCCGGCGCCTCCTACGATGCTATTGTTGCCGAGAGGAATTAATAGCGGCCAGCACAACTCCCCGCGGCCGATGAACGCCAGCCAAGACGACGGTGACGCGGGGAGTGGTATGCGAAAGAGCGCGATGGTATATGGCGGTATGTCACACTATAATATACGTTTTCTAGGTCGCCCGCGGAGAGACGAGATCGCGGTCGATGGTTACGCGGTTACCGACACGCGAGACCAACTGGTGGTCGGCGAGCGCCCGGCAGCGTCGGTCGTGCGAGGAGTGACAGACGAAAACGGCGGCGGCGGCGGCGGGGACTGCAAATCACGAATGGCGGGCGAGAGAGAGCTGAATCTAGGAACACGGACGTCAGCATCGTCGGACCCGCGGGAACGTATTATGTTTCGGGGTACGGCGGTGAGCGACTCCCCGGCAGAAGCTGCCGACGGGATGTGTTGCATATTCAGCATTTATATAATATAAGAAACGTAGTGTTTAACTATTAATAATAATAAGTATCATATTACGTTCGGTGGGGATTGTCTATCGTTCAGTAGCCAGCACATAATTTCATTATACGACATTACGATTTATATGTTTGACAATAAAAGACTATAATTTACGTTTGCGTTATTATTCACATTAATGATACACAACAGGATGCCAGGGCTAAAATCACGGGGAGTATCAGGACCGTTGCGGTTGCGGTCCGCAGATTCTCTACATTTTTCGCCCAGTGGTAGCAGCCGATTCCGCAGCACCAATAGCTCTTTGCGCTCGTCCAGTGTTTTTATTGGTCACCGTCGACGTCGTCACAGAGTCGTCTTCAGCATCGCACATCGTCGTAGCGCACAACATCAACATCGCGCACTAGCCGCTCCCCGCTAGTCGTCTCGTCGGTCCCGCGGCCTTCGCGGCCGGGCCTTGCCCTCCACCACGATGGTCGTCGCCCGCCGCCAAACGCTACACTCGTCCGCCCACGCCCCACAGGTTGGCGTGGAAACTTATAGAGGTGACCAGTAGCCTTTGATTTATACATTTATACCTCGCCATCACATACCACTCCCCCCCCCCCATGCTTTTGTGTCTTGTCTGGTGTTTTTTTTTCACATCTGCTTTTTTTTCAAAATTTTTTTGTTGTTACGCCACTTTAATGGACAAAAGTACACTTTTTGTTGATCATTTTTTTTTTAATAATATCATAGTATTTGTATGTCTTTTGCACTTTCAAAATTACGTTGTACGAGTATGTGCCTAAATATTAATACAATTACTACATAGTACATAGACTCTTTCGGTACAATAAATACAACTTAAATTTTCACTAAAATAAAATATTGTTTCTTTTTTACGTATTAAGAATGTATTTTTATTATTATTTAACAGAATATACGGTCAACACTGATCATGCTCTAGTTGGAACATTACCCGTGCCGGGCGGAATACCGTCTCTTATTGAATAAGACGCGTGCTGTTCGGTACATATAATATTATGATTGGTTTTTATTTCTATATTGTACAATTTCTGATATGTTTATTATTGGATATTACAATATCGAGTGGAGAACGAGACCATGCATGTAGGGTCCGCGTATACAACACTATACTTGAGTAAATGTTTTTAAAATTTAAATACTGTTTTGTATGAATTTGAAGACTAATATTAACCTATTCATTAGGAATATTCATTCAATATTTTCAGTGATAATTTTATCGTGGAAAGTTTAGTTTCTGCAGCTTAGTCGGTCAAATATTTTCCAACTCATTTATCTTATTTTAAACTTACTAAGCGTATTATGCAAACTTGGTATTTTCAATATATTATTATAACTAGATGTCTGGATCTTAGATCTTATCTAAAAACTACCCTATACGAGTCAATAACAGTTAGGAGGCATGGTAATATTATAATTTATAATATATATTAGAGTACCTGCTATTAATTTTCTCCGTGTTCATCGAAACATGTTCAACATTTTCTTGTTGGTCACCAAAATCAGTGTGTGGATTAAATCTAGAAAATTCTTGCTTTACACTTGATTAATTATATGTTGACAGTAAAAAAAATGTATTTGTTTTTTTTTTCAAAAGACGAAGAAACCAAACATATTGTACGTCTAAATTCTCAAAGTACTTGAATAAACTTTTTAAAATTTGATTTAAAGCAGAAAAATAAATCATCGTCTTACATTTATTTTGTACATGTACCTAATAGCTATGTAAATATAGAATAAATCCAACACATTTTTATATTCATCAATCATATTTCATGTAATACATTGCAAAGCAGTATAATAAATATATTGACATTTATTAATAGCGAAGCATTTTCCATTGGCATATTATAACCTATAACGAAATAGTTTTTAGGGTGAACTACAATAGGTAGCAATAAGTGGTCTAGCACCTAGAGGCCACTATTTATTTAAGAGTTTCTACGAAAGAATTTACTATAATTTTGGGGGGGGGGGCTGCAGCCCCCTTGTATATGCCACTGGCTTCACTATGCGTTAGCCTTAGCAAGACGGACACAACACACTTGGATATAAGTGTACAACCGTCAACCATTACGTCCTTTTAACCATAATCACTATTCACTGCAATACGGTTAGTAAGATGCATGCATGTAAATATACATAGGAACTGTAGGAACTTAAATAATAAAAAAATGAAACCAAATTGAGTTTTACATTTTCTAAAGGAATCATGACAGACATTTTCGAACAATAGGTATTACGAAAGTATAGAGAGAAGGAAGTTGATTTTGAAAATTGTATTTAACTATTTTATACAATACACCTACTTTTATTTATATACCTGTAAATACATAACAATTTATAAAAGTTGTGTCAATTAACCCTACTACCCTGGACCTATTGGATATAGGAATATAGCTACACAATAAGGTAGTGTGGCTTAAGGGCAAAATAAGATATTTCAAGAAATATTAAGATGTAGAGTGAAAGAAGTTGATTTTTGAAAATAAAATTTTGTATAAATGTATAAACACCCTTATTTTTATACATAATATATAGTTTCATATTTTATATTTATGTTTAATAATTTATAATTATCGTATTAAATCACCTACCCTGAGTCCACACGGACATGTTATACAGTTGCGCGATTAACAGGTTTAATATGGGCAAAATATGATGTCGTACTTTGTTATCGCATTGCCACGACACGTAAACGAGCTGGTCGAGGCGTCGAACGCGTGACAGCGGGCGTTCGGACACGCATTCTTAAAGTACGCCGGATTATATTTTTGGGGCCACGAGCTGATTTTGCAGGTGGACTGGGAGTTGTAGGCTCCCAGACAGCAGTAAGCGTCCGTGTTGAACTGTGAACAGGCGCTATGGCACGCCACCACGTCGGAGCCGCCGCCGGCCGCCCCGACGGCCAGCTCGAACGGGCACTCGCTGTTCAGGTCGGGCACACACTCGGCCGGCTTGCAGTCGTACTTGCCTTTTTTCGTGTAAGTGAAATACCTGGTGGGCATCATCCTGATCGGCAGGTTGTAGCCCTGCAACATCGATACTTGGTAGAAGTCCAATCCGTCGGACCTGGTGAACTTCATCTCGGCAAGGGTCGCGGGCGGCACAACTCCGGCCCCGCTGCAGTGGATCTTGTTCCCTGAATCATCAGAACGCAGAGCAATGAGATATACGATATAAAATCATACCTATATACATGGTATCAGTATTTTTTTTTACACACACGCATGGCTTTAAGGCGGATAAAATTCGAACATTGGGTGTTGGGTGGGGTACAGTAGGGGTGTTGTGTATTCGTGCAAGGATATGTTGCTAAGAACCCCGCGTGGTCACCCATCCGGGAGCTAGCAACACCGGCTGGTGCGTACGCGACTGAGTGTAGAAATGTTTGTTATTCGATTGTGTACAAAAAGGCAATGTCCGTATGTTTGTACCTGCCTAGCTTATTGAACAATATCGGCTCAAACTCTAACATGCCAAATGCCTTTGTCTTTGCCATAATATAAAAATGTCATACGAATGAAATAAAAAACACAAACTGCGTGTGACGATAAAGAATGCAATATATTGTGTTGATTTTACAATTTAAATAGTTTTTATGGTCGAATGTATGCACTGAAAAGCTTATACTTTCGACTTTGAAGGTTCCCGGTGGAAAATTGAATATGTGCAGTTCTTCGCAGATTCCACTGTGGGTGGAATAATGGGCCGGTGTGTGAAAATGCTTAATAAGTCTCTGAACACTTATTTAAGAGAAAAACATTCAAGTGGCTGTTACAGCCGGATATATTTTCGAGCCATGAGTTTAAATATGATATTCATCAAATATTTTATTATTAATGGCAATAGAATACCGTTATAAGAGCCGCAGGAAATCGAAATAAACATGATAATAATTTAATATTATACGTGGTACGAAGTAACCGGAAACAGGTATGCCATCACCAGCTTCGTATACTGAAGGTAAAACAAGCGTCGTTCGCAGCAATGGCAATGATCAGAACACAAATTTTTATGCACTAAAAAATATCAAAATACCAAACAGGCACTTGGTTTAAAACAAATTTTTTTTTCTGAAATTAATAGTATTGCTAAACGAGATTACGAATAAGAAAGTTCACTGTTAAAAAGGATACAATTTACATGACTTTACCAAAACACGATAGGTTCGTAATCGACTCATTCCAAGTGCGAATCAGAATATAATAATTATTATATTATATTGTGTATAACGCTATAGTCATTATGAGTAAGTGTGATAAAAATTGTTCGTATATTTTTCTTGACCAAAACGTGGATTAGTAAGGAAGGGGGTTCTTCTGATATTAGTTTGTTTATAAAATTGATTATTATAAACTTCTAAGTATAAATACCAGCTGATTCTTCACTCACCCTCATAATAAACTAAATTACTTAGTGCAATAAATTTGGCTGTGCATAGCTTACACAAACACACGCAAACAGTGCCTTTTATGAGTATGCTTGTATGGACAAAATAACATTATCATGTAACTATGTTAGTTATGTGGGCATTGCTCGGGAATAATTAACCCCGAGATGGACAACCGTCCGAAATCCATCAGTGACGGATAGAAGACACTTTTTTTTTTTAAGTGAACCATTTATTAAGAGTTGAAATAAACGAAAATGCGGTTATGATGTTCATATCAGGTGGTTACCCGAACTAAAAAATAAAGTTTTGTTAATGAGTAAAAACCCTGCCCGATCAAGACATCATTTCTATTTCCGTTTTCCCCGAATAATATCGTAAGGGTTGAACGTATCGCAATAAGCCGATTGTTTGCCTTGATGTTATTGTGGCCCATCAGGTGGTATAATTGAAGCTTTGGCCGACTTGAAAATCATCACATTCTCATTTTTACCGCCGACGTTTTAATACCTAGTATAACCACCAGAATGATTAAGGACCCAACTCGACTATAAGACATTTCTACTTCCGTTTTCCGAATATATAATATAATAACTGCAAGGGTCCGCGACATGCCTATTACAAAGCCGACCATGATGTGGACTTACCGCAATCGCCCGTTTCGCATTTTCCTTGACTGTCGCAATTCGTCCTACCCCAAATCCTCCCCGCCCAATTTCGAGGCGTGTTAAACGTATGGGTCTTGTAAGCGTCCAACGAAAATCCGCCGTTTTGGAGATGTTCGTGTTCCGGGTCGCCTTGTATGCCGGGCCACACGGTAAACGAGCAGTTGTTTTTTATTCTAATCAGGTGTGCTCTACTGACCGCGGCCAATTGAACAAAAAACAGTACAAACTTAAAGTCCATCTCGACAGTCGAGACCGCGGGATTGTGATAGGTATACTGTATAGGTGGTCAACTGGCCAAAGAATTTGCGAGCCGTGTTTTAGCAATGACGTCGCATCTCATATCATAACTTGTTTGTATACCGACGCGGGCCGTTCGACAATAATTATTTTTTATTTATTGTACGATGGAACAACTCAAGGACGCTGACAAATGGACCTCTCTATCCAACTTATAAGATTATCAATAGTCTTGTTCTTTTCGCACCATGGTCATGTGTTGGTTATTGCCACAGCTTAAGATATTATGTACTGCTTTTTAAACCGCGGTCATTGCTTAAACAGCTGTTTTCAAACTCTTTTATCATCATATTTATACAATAATATTGTTATTAAATTCTCTCCCCCCCACCCCGGTGCAATGAAGTCACAATAATGTATTAAAACAAAATCTTATCAAACACGCACAAGAAATATATTATATATACACTAATCTAAATTCCAAATTCTAAATATATCTCAGTAACATAGCTATCATAATTATGTACAAATATATTAATCTAAACGCGGACTAAATATACTTAATGACTTAAATAACTAAATAACTTCAATATTAAACGAAAAGCAATATTTTATTATCAAATAAATTTTAAAAACAAATATGAGGGCAAAATGTCAGCTTTAAAAAATAGATCGGGGGGAAATGTCCTACTAGGGGAATTATTGATTCCGCCGAAACTACCTGTTTAAAAAAAAGGTTTGTATCGATTCCGCCAGCTATTAATTCCGCCGGCTACTGTTTATAATATTACACATCAATTCCGCCGGACACTGTTTATCCCCCCTCCCTGTATATGTATTTTAAAATACATAGTATATAATAAGAATAAAAAAAAAATAATTGTATAATTCAAAAATAAAATGTATATTATTCTAATTAATTCGTGTAAGTATGTGAATAAATGATAAAATATTAAAATGTATATAGTCTGAATTGTATAAAATGATAATAATAATTGTATAAATGTATAATTCAAAATTAAAATGTATAATCTAATTAAAATAAATATAACATAAATGTAACTACTTTTGGTAATATTTGGACACATGTTTTAAATAAGTAATCTTAGAAATTGTATTATTCTTCAAATCGTTTGATAATTTTTTAATATTTTGTTTTCACTATTTTTACTAATTATATTTATATTAATTCCAATTATATGTATGTAAGTGTCAGTTTGTTGACTCGTTTTATTTTTATTATTTTATACAATTTAAACTATACATTTTATAAAATATTCACATACACGTATTAATTAGACTATACATTTTAGTTTTGAATTATTATACAATTATTATTATTTTATATATATATATCATAAAGTATATTATGCAGGACTGTAATTTTAAAAATACGTTTACAAATACAAGGGAGGGATAAACAGTAGCCGGCGGAATCAATATGTAGATATTATAAACGGTAGCCGGCGGAGTCAATAGCCGGCGGAATCGATATAAAATCGGCGGAATCGATATACGCCCGTCCTACTACACTGAAATTAATCGTGGGGAAATATTCGGGGGGAGGGGGGGATTATTAATTTACCGGCGCTAACATAATCTAAATAAAATATTAGGCGTGTACTTTATGTCCCTTTATTATGTGTATAGTAAAAAATCTATATCTATAATATTATTTTAAACTACCTAATCATTGTTATGGAATTATAGAAATAAATACCAAAATGAAGTCGCAAAAATCAATTAAAAATTAAAAAAGATAAAAATAAATAGGGTGATATACCTAACCAATTTTAATGCATTTTTTTATATACTATCATGACTCAAATTACCTAACAATCAGGGACAGTAATGACACGAGACCACTATTAAGTTACTTGGGAAAAATATTTAGATATATTTTTAAATTGCTATTCATTTTTCACTATAATTGCCTATATCAAACCCCGTAAAACTCCTTTTATGTGATACAAATATTTTTTTCCTTTAATATTTTTAAACACTATTTGTATTTAGGCCAGCAGCAAGTACTGTAACTGCATGGGCTCTTCAGAGGGGGGGGGGGGTCGTAAATCACTCGTGACCTGAAGAAGCTTATAAATTTATAATATAAACTATAGTTATAAATAACCATCTGAAGTCCATTCTACATATTTGAAAACATATAATGTTATAATTATATTATAAAGAAAACAATTTTAATTCGATACTTAAACAATAACTTACATGGGTGGGTAAAATAGTAGCAATGTCAAAAACGAGTACAGGTTATAAACGTTAAAGTTTATACTTGAAAATACACGATGCGTAGTACTAATTATTAATACCTACTTGCAATTCTCAAGCACCTTCTGTTTTACTAATGTCTGTTACTAATTTACCTATTTACAAGAGTGATTTTAGTACGAGTGGCAATTACTAATTTATTGTTAGAGAATTTCTAATCGATAACTATAGGTAGTTCAATGTGTTTCCTTTCTGACGCGAAAATCGATTATCGAAATGATGATTTCCTAGTTGGCCGACACCTAATCCGCGACTTTCATCATTCAGGGTCGTTTTAATAAAATTATTTATTTGTATACCTAAACAAATCTGATGTATTAAAAAAAAATAATAATCCTATGATTTGTAGTCTGGTTATAAGTTCGTTGAAATGTTTAACAATATTGCACGACATCCACATTTGTACATTCGTCGTCTCCACGTTTTTGGTCTATTTTGTGAACATTTACATTGTTCACTTCAAACAAGTCCAGGTTTTCCGACTTAATCTTTAATTATTCCAAAACGGTGGAAAATAAAATTAATAAGTTGTTATACTTATGTTGAATAGTTGTTTATCTGTTACAGTATCTATACATTTAGTGGTCTAGTGCTCAAGTCCACACAGTGAAAATTATTACTACAAAGTACAAACTATACAATCACAATTATTATTTGAAAACCGCAGTGAACTTTTCAGTAAAATGACGTATTTCGCGATAAGATAGGTTCACAAAAATCGATAGAACCTATTATTATTATAGTTTTATTCTTATTAAATCGTATACTGTAGATGGTCTTATGTCCCGATAACTTGATCGAAGCACGTACCTATTCGCGACAAGCCTCTGACCGAGATGCTTGATGTGCATAAATATGTGTGAACAGAGGTAAGCATGTGCGGAGATAAATATCACATAAATATATATTCATCTATGTGAATTTATGCATATATAATATTTATATATAAACCAATAGCTAAATATGCGACGGTTCGCCTCGCGCATGCGTGCATCAAGCATCTCAGTCAAAAACTATCATCGCTTATAACATGTGCATAGGAGATGGGCTGCAGGCACGACTTAAATCGTGGCTGCAGGACTCCATCAATAGGATATACATTGTTCATAGGTTGTATTGCTATACCAGGAATCATGTGGCCAAATATAATATCATCGTTGTGGTTGTGGTGAATTGAGCATTTTCTAAATGCCATTAAAAATTGATTTTTTTTTTTTGAAAAACTTAATGTCGATGAACTAGGCATAAGTCGTTTTTGTTTGTTTATCGTACTGTATAAATAACTTAGGTAGTATATTCTCAATGTATTCCGTTTTATGATTTTGATATAATATAAACAATTTTTAAGTGATTTTAATATATTAAATAAGATAATATAATAAAAGTCAAATAATTATTGTTGAAGTGTCTGAAAACTAAAATTAACAAAACAAATAGCGAACATAAGTTCAAACATTATAAAACTTGTAGATTTGAGACGTATTTCGTTGAAATCGCATAAAAAAGCTTGTTTAAACATTTTGGATAGTGCCTAGGCACGCCCCGCACGCACGCCTATGGCTATATCGGATTATATTATATTGATATTATTTAATTTGCATTGGGCTCGTACAAAAATAGTAATAAAGAAATAAAATTGATCGCATTATATGTTAAACTTTAAAAAAAATTGTATGTAAATTAATCACGCCAACGAATTACATTAAAATAAAAAATGTTTGTAATGTTCCCACCTATCCCTATATGCATAGTATGGCCATTATATGGAATATTATAGTATGTCCTTGAGTTGTTTTGATTACCTATAGTAGTCTAGTACCTACATACATTTTTTAAAGACGTGCTATGTAGTAAACCAATTATTAAGTTTTAAAAAATTACTCACAATTATTTCTTTTTAGTATAGTTATTTATGGTTATATACCATAAATAGTTGAGTTTTTTTTATCGATGGATAAACATTTTGTTTTCATAAAACATTTGTCGAAAAATTACCAAGGAAGATGTTTTAAACATTTTGACGGGACTCGGTTCATTTTAAAATATGGACTCAATGAGTATATAGTGCCTAAAAGTTCAAGGGACTCTGAATTAGTATGTAACTTAGAACAACCCGGAACTCAATCTGTACTAAAAGGTTTTATTGGGACCCAGTTCGTATGCAGTCAAATAAATATAAACACATTTATTACTAATGAAAGGGTCCAGGACACTATGTCACTTCCGTTTAGCTGCCAGGCCCTTAAACCCTTTCCCAGCAATTTGCATATTATGGCATCATTCGGGTAGGCCCTTCACGTATATAGAATGTACGTTCCTATATACACATTCACTATTAAAAAGTAGAAAATAATAGATGATATTTGGGTGGCTATTCTGTATCTATATCAGACTATACCTAATACTTAACTTCTGTGAATTCAGCGTTTAACCTTTTGAACAACAAATAACATAGGTACTTATACCTAAATTTTTAGCAATTTTATTAATTATTACAATTCATACATACCTTAATAATTATATTTATGTGTTGCTTAATTTTCCATTACATTTCTCATATCTGGAACTTTTTTCATTCATTAATACTTCATTAGTCGTCTGTTCTTCGGATTGACGTTCCTAGCCTTTTTGAGGTACAACATTGATACAAAAAATATATTATTAACATTTAAATAAGAATAAATAGTAGCGATTGTCACCTGGTCAACTGTTACATATGTGATTTGGGATCGTTATATTTGTTTGAAAATGAACAAACATTAAAAAAAAAATACCTACTAGACAGCTCTCGCAAACACCAATAGTTGTTTGGTTTTATGGGCTATCGATTGCAGATAATAAAAAAAAGGCATTATAGTTTTTTTCGTTCACTCCTTGAACGTTCACACACAACTAAACTATCCTTGGACGCCTTATCTGTCAACAAATATTTAGAACTGGAAATTAGGTACCTATTTGAAATATCACTCAAAAAGTTGAAAAATTGCAAATATACAGAAGTAAATAAATGTACACAGGTAGAATAACGACTGCAGTATTTGCCCACACTTGAATTTAGTTTTGTTTTTGAAAATCAATTATTTGTTTTGTTTATTTGCATTTTTGATATTGATTAAATATTATATTATCACTCGATTATAATAACAACATGGACATGGAATGTGCATTTTTTTATTTATTTTTTGCGGGACAACTATTACTATATTAAAATATCACTGTTGATGAGTATATGTATATCGTGTGAGACGATTTCGAAGAATTGAACTCTCGTTGTGTACACTATACTATAATAATATTATGATGTATTTTGCATACGTCATCCTATACCCTATAATTTGCCCGAGTTGTGCAGCTTATACTGATATACTATTATATTACATATTACTTGTTATTATATTACCTATCGCTGTAAAGTAAATAGTGCGCTTGTTATTTAACATAGTTTAGGTCATCATCATCATAATATAAAATAAATATTATAATATTATGTAAATAACGAGGTCGCGTGATAATATATTGTTGCAGAGTCGGTGGCGACATCATAGAGACGCTTAAATCCCGAGAAAATGTTTAGTAACTTCATATATCTGTATACGGCTATACAACCGCTCGGAAAAATTGATTTGAGTATGGTTGGTGAATCACTCTGCATACAATGTACAGCAGCAGTTGTGGAAACGAGAATATAATATTATTTCATACATATATAATATATATGCTATAAACACTAGTGTGTAGGTATATGTAAGTATACTGCTGCAGCTGGTGATTGGTATCTCAAACACATTTTGTATTTACAAAATTCCACTGACAGAAGTACAGAATAATACCAACTCGACCGTTCGAGTATGAATTAAAACAAATGTACGATAACTAAGTGCTGTGCGTATATAGCCGCGATTTATAAATAATTATAATGAACATTATAATCATAATTATATCTTCTGTACACTCGATCCGATTCCTTTTTTTTTTTTTGCTTTTTCCAACTATATGTTCTCAATTGAAAGTCTGCAGACGGACGTTTCCAAGTCGCACTGATTCCGCTGCTGCTATATAATTTACTTAGGTATACGTTTTCTCTTTTACAATTCAGACGACAGTCTTCCAGTTTGAGTACACACATAAATGTTTAGGTACCTATATAAAACAGTGAAACACTTATATGATAATATATACGATATACTCATGTGGATTGTTATTAAACACACGTAGACACACACACACAGTAATTTACTTGATTAGGTATAGTTTATGTGTTTTTAAATATTAATTTATATAATTCTTTACTACCAATATTCAAGAAATTTACTAAATTAAAATTTTAAGTTCTTGTTCCAAAGCTGAATTTGTATTGTTGATTTATAAAAATATAAAACTTTTATAAGCATTTTAGTGTTAGATAAACAAAAATATTTTTTATATTAGGTATATGTATGTATGTATGTGACCCATAACTCATTACTAATACAATATATTTATTATATACATAAAAATGAATGTTGATGTATCTGTCTGTCTGTATAATTAATAAATTCAAAATAAGGACTGGATCGTTTTCAATGAAAGTTATGTCAATAGATATTTCCTCGACACTTTTGTGTTTATACCTTATTTTTTAACCACTATGATATATAGGTAGCTAAAGGGTAGCTCACTGCAGTTTTACAGATAATAATAATAATTTTAGCAAAGACGCTTTTACATGGATAGGTATATCATCAGTATCGGCATACATCAATTTATTTAATTTCTTAATTAATATTTGTGTACGAGGCTCATTAAAATAAAATGATATCAGTAAGTTATAACCCGATATAGCCGCACATTTAGGTCTAACTTACTTGCGATAGGGCAACAGTACGATACAAAATTATTCATTGTAGATTCTTCAGAGTTGAGTGATGATTGATTTTACAATTATGTGAGATTTTTTTTTATTTATTTTTTTTTTGTGTCTCAATAGTCAACTTTGAAAGTGGTTGTAAAATCGGTCCGAGGAAAAAATAAAATACAGTTTATATCCGTCTTTTTTTACCATCTTAAATTTCCGGAATGAGTTTAAAACAAAAAAGGTAACCACGGGCCCAGTTTACATTTGCCCGGATTATCTAGATGATAATGATGATATTATGAAAAGGGAGAGGGTCAAATATATGTATGTATTTACAGAGACTTCCATACAGAATTAAAATATATAATTTGTTTTTGTTTTTACCTGTTAAACCTGTTACGGTATGATGGTTTGTTATCGCCCCAGGCATGGGAAAATGTTATCATCTCACTACTAAATAATAATCGCTACGTATAGGTAATAATCTAATGATTTGGCGAATCTCAGGAAAAAGTTCTTAATTATTATATACTCTATAGGTATCTATTTATTACTTGGGGTTTTTTAAAAACCAACAACTAAACACTTAACGTCATCAAAATATCAAACGATCAAACACCAAACTTATTTTCTTTAGATCAGTTAGAACACCATATTTTTTTTGATGGTTGGAAAGCTTATGCTAAATTTCAGCAACATGAATTTAAAATCTTAAACATAATTTGTAGTTAATCATAAATATAATATTGTGGACCCTTCAAACCTTGTCTTGAAGGCCCAAGCGCAAAATGTGTACAGAATGGGGGATTGGTCAAATGAGGCAACAAAAAACGTGGAGGAAAATATCAAACCTAAATGATCTATTTGATATAATTTTTAAAAGTATAGCAGAATTTTAACAACCATCTTAATTTTAATTATTTTTGCATAGTTATATTACTATTATAATTATCTAACAAATTATATCATTAGGTATATCTATTTTTTTAAAAAAAAATTAGTTATTATAATTTTCAGAGGTATCAATATATAAATAAATAAATAAATTATTAAGTATCACTTACATAGTTACATATTAATTATTATTATTATGCATAATGTTTATGTTATTAAGGTGAAAAAAGGACAACACTATACTTGATAATCTTATTGGTTATATATATAGAGAGAGAGAGTTTCATCAGTACGTAACCTTGAGTCGTTCCTTTATACAACAAATTATTATTTATGAATGGTTCGCGTTGGGTATTTAAACAAGAAGTGATTTGAGTTGCGGCGTCATTGCTAACACAGCTCTCAAATTCTATAGTTAGTTAACCACCTAACAGTATACCTATCACAATCCCTCGATCTCAGCTCTCGAGATGGACTATAAATTTGTATTGCTTTTTGTTCAAATGGCTGCAGTCACTAAAGCACACATGTTTAGAATAACAAACAACTGCCCGTTTACTGTATGGCCCGGCATACAAGGCAACCCGGGGCACGAACATCTCGAAAATGGCGGATTTTCGTTGGGCCCTTACAGGACTCATTTAGTTATCTCGTCTCGAAATTGGACGGGCAGGATTTGGGGCAGGACCAATTGCAACAGTAAAGGAAAATGCGAGACGGGCGATTGCGGTAAGTCTATATGGTCGATTTGTAATAGGCTTATTGCGATACGTTCGACCCTCATTATATTGTTCCGAAAACTGAAATAAATGTCTAAAATAATATATTATTCGAATTAGGTTCTTAACTATTAATAAATAAGTAACTATTAAAAAAAAATGAGAATGTGATGATTATTAAGTCGACCAAAGCTTTAATTTAGATGTGATTTTTACAATAGTATATTTTCCCAAACAAAAATCATCAAAAAATAAGGGAAAATGTGAAAAGGAAGGACCTATGATTGACGTATTCATGACACATTTTATTTTAAATATATACTTTTAAAATCAAACAAATACTTATGATATTTAAAACAAACTATGCTTAATGCACTTGAGTGCAAATGTTTCAGTTTGCATTAAATAAAACTAATCTTTAAGTTTTATACACTAATTATTAAAAATGTATCCATTATTGTTCAAAAACAACAAAACCCCAAATCACGTCTTACAGATAGTGCTCAGTAGTCAGCCTTACTGAGTTATAGGCGTCTCGTAACTCCGAGAAGCGATGGCAATAGAAGTATAAGACTCGGCTCTACTCGTATAATAGTAATTACAAATGAAAATTTAAAACAATATTACAACCATAGCAGGCATAGCTATCTTTTAGTTTAGCCAGTATAGAAACTAGGCAACCTAACTTGAAGAATTTTACCTCCACGATACTCACTTTTTGGTCGAAAAAATATATACGATCAGTTTTTATTCAAACGTTCAGTTCAAACGTGTTAGGATGCAACCCACTGGCTATAGGTATCTGAAACAAACGTATAAATTCAAGGAACACGTAAATATTATTAGAAATTTGATGTTATAAAAAATCAATAAAACAATAATATAATAAATATAAAATGGATGTTCTTATTTTCTTTTAATTTTAGTAGGCGATGCAATCGCCCTGTTGTCCATGAAAGTTGATTAGTAATGTTCACATTTGCAGCAATATTTTTTTTTTTATTGTTATAATTTAATTTTACTGGACAGTGGACAGATAGGTGTATTTCAATATTGGCGTATTATACCTGCCTTAACATCGTCATATGAGTAAAATAATTATTTTTGAAAATCTATTCTGCATAATACCGTACACCTTTCCAATGATACAATTTTTTCTTCTACCATATGTTTATAATATGCATAAGTCATTGGTACGACTAAAAATTGTGTTGTAGTATTAATAATTTACATGTATAGAATAAATGTAGATATTATTTTCTCATATTAAATATGATTTTATATCTTAATTTGATGATACAGGGAACAAGATTCAATGCAAAGGGGCCATGGGCATGCCACCCCTATCAATGGCTGAGTTAGAGTTCTCCAAAATCAACGAAGTGGACTTCTACCATGTGTCGTTGGTGGATGGCTTCAACCTGCCGATCAGAATTAGGCCTGACCCATTTTCGCCGTCCATCATAAACGACACCAACTGCCAGCCAGCTGACTGTGTGGCCAACCTGAACAGCAGGTGTCCGGCCAAACTGGCCCTGAAGGCGACCAGTGGCTCCAGCGTCGTGGGGTGCAAGAGCGCCTGTACGCTGTTCAACACGAAGTCTGAATGCTGCCAGGGTGTCTACACCACCCCTCGGACTTGCAAGAGAAGCTCGTGGCCCAAAAACTATCCGGCATACTTCAAGTCAGCCTGTCCGTACGCCTACAGTTACCCATTCGACGACACGTCCAGCACTCATAAGTGTCAAGGCAACGCGTTGACAAAGTACCACGTCTTATTTTGCCCTTAAGCCACTTGTTGTGTAGCTATATGTTTGTATAGGTTCAGGGTAGGCTATTGAACACAATTTGTATATATTATTATATCTATATGTTATATAAAAATAAATATAATGTATTGTATAAAAATGAAACTAAAGGTAAAAATAGTACAATACTATTTTCAAAAGGCAACTTATTTCCATTTATACTTAATATGATGCTCAAAAATTTAAATCATTCAATGATTCCTTTAGAAAATTTAAAACTCAATTATCATAATATTTTTTTTAGTTGTTATTATTTATTTTGTAAGAAGACCTGCTATGCATAAATCTTACAATAACCATTGTACATCAAGTCATTATAGCTAAGAGGAGATTATGGTTATACTTGAACGACATGCTGTCTTCGTATTCCTAAAGCATAATGAATCAAATTATTCGTTTAGAATAGGTAACTCATTTTACTCAATCATTTTTAATATTAGAGTGAATATTTTTCAAATTTTTTTTAATCAAATTAATTATCAAATGTGAGAGTAAGAATATAGGGTCCCACATAGGTTTTTTTTTTTATTTTAATTTTAACCATAGTCATGAGCATTTTGAAACCGAAAATGTTTTGTAAATTTTAAACATGTTTTTTTTTTTAAATATTAAGCAAAATAGTTTATTTTTTGTGGAACAGCTTTTATCAACGACATAATTTTCACGTGCTCTACTCAAGGACAGTGTTGATAATAAGATACATAAATTTATCTAGAATCTAGATAAATAATTAATTACCTTTTATCTTATCTAGATAAATTCAAAAATGTTTATATCATGTGCAATTTTAAATCAATAATAGCTTCATCTTAACTAAATCATTTAGATAACAAAATGTCAAATATAATAATTTCTAAAATATAAGGAATAAATAAGAGATGAAAACATGAGGGTGAAGTTATCCGCCCAACATTGTCTTACAAAATACAAATGCGCGTATTAGATTATTGAGATTTGTATGAATTTCCAAAAGAGTTAACATGAGTAAATCGTAAAAAATATTATTTTTATGTTTTATGACTTAATGTCAGGCAAGGATATCTGATATGCACGGTGCACCAGTGTAGTCGAGCACATGCCAATACGCCATACATATACACAATATGTACAATTAATGATATTGCATAATGTACAATATAATTAATATATACATTTTGATAGCCAGTATATGCCTATGTGGGACAGTTCTGAAGTCACTGTCTAGTATATTATAAAAATATAAAATATACTTAGTAATATTTTTGGGACCCGTGTATTACAAATGGATCTTTGAACATTGAACGAGTCCAACGCAAATTTTTAAAGAATTAAAGTTTCATATTAGGCATTCAATGTACCCCAAACGATTACTCTCTAGTCTCTAAGATTCTGGATCTTCAATCACTAGCTGACCGCAGGTGGATGTTAAGTAAAACTTTCCTAAGAGGTCTTTTATCTAATGTTGATTCTCCTACTCGTTTGTCCCTTATAACCTTCAGAGTTCCTCAATTTCCAACCCGAGCACCTGTGTCCTTCTATATTCCCCAATACAAAAGTAATTAGGTACATGAAAAATGAACCGTTAAGACGCATAATGTTCAAAGCCAATGAGGATCCCTTCTTTTCAATCTAATTACCCCTATTTTTACTACCCTTAAATCTTTCCTTCTTTTTTGTTCTGTTTTTAACCGTTATTATTGTTATTATTATTCGTATTATGTATATTTCTTACTCTTTTCCTAGAATTTAAATGTATTATCTATTGTATTCAAAGAGCATCTAAGAGTTAATTATTGTTAGTAAATAAATAAATAAATAAATTTAGGATGGCAGACTGTATTTGATCAGAATCGTTAGGATTTTTTTTCTCTAAACACTAATCTAGTATATTATATAATACAATAATATTATAAATAATAATATAGTGGCTTCACCCGTTATTAACGTATGACTTAATAACGTATTGTAAATTCGTAAATAACAATTAACTTGGTGAACAGTTTCAAGCACTTACGAATACTGTTTTATTACTTAAAACAAAATAACTAAAATTGATACTTCTTAGCTGGGGCGGTTTTTATATTATAATATAGTATATTATACCTACCATAACTACTTGATTCGTTCAATAATATAATATTACACAATATTTAGTACTTACCACGGTATTTTACTTTATTATTTACCCACTGTATTATTGATACACTGGTTTAGACACTCAATACATTTTCTTGATTATATACCACGATGATGAGTGATAACAGAGAGGTATATACTCACTACTCCGATGTACTCAAATTGCCTATTCAGAACGCCGAACGATCAGTATTCTATTGAGAAAAAAGATCGAAATATTTTAATGAAAGCATGACGAAGAGTGAACAAGAAAATAGAAAATAATTTTAATACATTTAAAATATACGCCACGTTTCCGATTCGGCTTAAAATGTTTGATGTTTTATTCACATTACTTTTTTTTTACTTTACGGTCTTTACGCATATGTAACGATCTTTTAATACAGAAATTCTTGGGTTAGTGGACATAGTTTATAGTTATTATATGTGTTATTACCAGACGTCTGTTATTCGGAATTTGATATTGTCATATTATATTATAACAGTAAGAAGTATTTCTAAAATGTGGGAGGATAATGAAATATATTTCACACACTTCGACGTTCACCAACTAAGCTACATGAAGGACGTAGGACATAGAGCATAGTTTTTAATATGCTAATGAATTCACGTCTATTCATGTCTATGAAACTCAATAGTTATGTTTATCTGCATGTATTATCTTAAAGCATTTTGTAATTATGTTATTTATATGTGTCACCGTAAACCTATCTGATAGTATATACATAATCTATAATATATATCTGTACATTATACTCTTGTAAACAAAGACTAGTACCTGTAAAAGTAAATAATAACAAAACAATTTTTTTTTTTTTTAAACATGGTTTAATACAAATACTATTACGATCAATTGAGTTGTATTATTTTTATATATTTGTGTGAATTAAACTTAAGTTATTTAACAATTTAACCTGTGTGAGTATAATTAATATATTATACTGGCAACAGTGTAAAATAGCTTACGTTTCACAATGGTTGTAAAATTATATAGCTACGCGGAAAAATGTTTATAAGATTCTGGTGTCAATAAAACTAAATATCTACAGTTCTAATAAATGCTCATAATTTGTTTCAAAACTAAAATATAAAAAAACCTAAGTAGGGCCCTAGATAATATTCATACTTTTACATTTAATAATAGACCAATTTGCTAGAATATTCACAAGTTAAAACAATATTAACAATTGGATTTTTTTAAATTTCTTTTAAATTTAAGATATTCAGGATTGTGCTGTGTATATAAATTAAAAAAGGTGGACAAGTGGAGACCCAAAAAAACTACATCATTGTTAAGTCAATACATTTATCACTCCGCTCAGAATCTAAAAAGGAGTAAAATGGATTATTTACAATTTCCTTCTTGGTACTGCGTTAGCAAGACGGATACATCACATGCGGGTATAAGTGCAGCAATAACCATTATGACGTTCTCTAAACTATACAAATTGCAATGCGGTTAGTAAGAGTTATGTACCTAAGTATACTTAATTACATGAATATCAAAATTGTGTTTCGAATTTTCTGAAAAATCATTTAATGATGGACATCTTCGAGCTATCATAACATCTAGAGGGAAAGAAGTTGATTTTCGAAAATAGTATTTGATATAAATTTATGTATACCAACCAACATTTATTTTTATTTCTCATACAATACTTATACTTGTATTTCTATATAAATATATAATAATTTATAAAAACCGTGTTAAATAACCTACCCTTGAACCTATATAGGAATGTAGCTACACAAAAATTGGTTTAAGGGCAAAATACGATGTCAAACTTGGTTAACGAATTGCCGTGACACGTAAACGTGGTGGTCGTGTTATCGAACGGGTAACTGTAGGCACCCGGACAGGCTTCCTTAAAAAATGGTGGATAGTTTTGTGGCCACGAGCTGCTGTTACAAGTGGCCGGGGTAGTGTAGACACCTTGGCAGCAATCACTGTTCGTGTTGAACAGCGCACAGGCGCTTTTGCACCCCACCACGCTGGAGCCATCGGCCCCCTTGACGGCCAACTTTGCAGGGCACTTGCTGTTCAGGTCGGCCACACAAACAGCCGCCTTGCAATCGTCGCCGCTGTTCGGATCTATTCGATATTTATTGGGCATAATCCTGATCGGCAGGTTAAATCCGTCCACCAATGACACGTGGTAGAAGTTCAAGTTGTCTGACTTGGCGAACTGTATCTCAGCTAGGGTCAAGGGTGGAACGCCCAAAGTCCCATTGCATTGGATCTTGTTGTCTGCATCATCAAATAGTAGCACAATGAATTAATATACGAAATAAAATTGTAACAATATTTATCAAGAGTCTTGTATTAAATTTTTCATGCTTTTTGACTCAATCAATACAATTTGATTAACATTTATAGAAGAAAAAATGAAAATCTAAAATGTCCGTCAACAGCAACAATTTAAAATATTTTGAAAATGTATCAAGTATATGAATTGATAAAATAAACATATGAGTAAGTTTCAAATGTCTACAGTAATTTGTTTTTGAATTACAACGAAGTAAGAAAATCGCCACAAAAGAAATCTAGTGATTATCCATTGTGATAAAAATTTCAACTTCAAACGCTCATAAAAATTGAATTTGACATTACAATAGAAATTTTATTTTTTTTTGATAAAGTTAAACAAGCTGATAAGAAATCTTGTACTACATTATTAAATCTTAGATATAAACAGTACAATTTTTATGAATTTCTAACTAAATATAATTTACTAATTGTTGTGATTTTTACGAATTTAGTCAAATTTCTAAGTTTAAACGCGCATAAAAAATTATTGTGGATTTAGGCTTAAGGCCCAACTTTTTTTTAATTTGCACTAACAATACTTACGAGGAACCTTGTATTACAATTACAAAATTTTTGACTGAGTGAAAAACTTTTTATCGACATTAGTTTAAAAAGTGAAAATGCATTGATATGCCTATAAATAATTTAACTTAAGTCAAAATATTTTGAACATTTTATGGTGTATAGAAAATGCTAACACAAATATTCAGTGAAAATTGTATGGTACCTACGGTAATTTTTTTAGAGTTACACTAAAAACCAAAATTTATTTTTTCAAAAGCTGAATGGCGTTAATTTACAAATAAATAGAAATCAGAATCTATAATATGGAATCTTTCTACCAATTATAATAGTAATATAACACTTAACCAACACGATAAATAAACAAAGAAAATATTTTTTTTTCGTGAACTTCAAATAAATGTATGTATGAGCACTTTCCTGATGTCATTAATGAGTTTTCAATGATCCCACCTAATATTTGAGCCTTTTTTTATTAGTTCAGAGTGATCCATAAACATTTCTGGATCTTTTCATGCAAAACTCAATTCTTCGTTTACAGGATCACACCAAAATACGGGTTTATTTACACACGTCTTATACACAAGAATCTAAACAGATATACATACAATATTTTCATATCAACTCACTAAAAAAATTTTATTAAAAACACAAAACAAGTGTAATACGTTCAAGGCGTTACCTTCATATGTATTGAGCCTGCGATTTAAATATGAGTTAGCTTTATCAAATATTTTATAATTATTGACATTATATAAAACTGTTGAAATGTACGAAATTGAAATAAACATAATATTATAATTCGTGATGGTACGAAGTATGCGGAAACAGGTATACCATCACCAACGTATTTGAAGGAAAACAAGCGTCATACACGGCCAACAGTAATAGCGATGAGTCTAGACTCTAGAGCAAGTATTTATGTGCACCACAAAAATCATAAAAATATGCACTAAAAAATCAAAAAAAGTTATGGGTAAAAACTAAAAATAAATGTACCCAATTAAATCGTTTATATAGTAGTTGTCAATTTATTAGGTTTTTAATTTTAAATAAATTTAACATCTTACTGAGGACATAAGGTAGGTACTTAATTTAAAACAAATTTCTTTTTTGTAAAATTACTTAACAAGTATATGAAAAAAAATCCTGTTAAAAATGATAAATTTGACATTATAGTGCACCGAAAAGTGATAGGCCCTTGATCGAAAGAATGTGTTACTACAATTGTTTATTTCCAAAATATTATTTCTCATTTATTAGCTTTTTAAAACAGCATAATATAATTTAATTTCACTACAATATGCATTATGAAATAAATATAATTTTCAGTTGTCAAATTATATGAAAAATATGTAATTATCGTTACATCAATATCTATACAAAGAAATGCAAAAAAAAATTGTTGTTACTAGTTTAAAACTATTACATTTTGTAAATATTTCTGATAAAATCCAAAAATTAAAATATTAATTGTTGGATTCTACTGTTATGAATTGACTTATAAAATTAATTTTAATCAACTACAGTTAGGTAAATAAGTATATAATACAATAATACAATCGTACAATAATACGTACAGGGAGCTCAAATATATGGTGAGTGACACAAAAAAATGAAGAAAATATTAGGTTATGGTTGCGAAAAGAAAATTTGTTAAAAACCAATACCCGGATTGAGAAACAAAAAAAAGCAACAAGTATATAGCCGTATAGGACATATGGGTGAAGTTAAATTGTCTAGTGCCATGGTATCTATAAACGCCTCTTAATATTTAATAATGATTTTACAGTAATTAAACGTCGATTAAGCTATTTTTTTTAAATAAATGATTTTTCTTTCAAATTAATTTTTCTATTTTTTTTTTTTAATAATCGTGCTGCAAAATCCAATGTCTTTATGTATAAATATCTAGTGTATCAGACGGTTCAATTCTAGGGTATAGGTTGAGGTATTGCCCGACTTCATAACCGTCGGGGAAATCATAATTATATTTTATACTACATAATAAATAATAGTATATAAAATATTCTATAGTTACTCCATAAACGAGCTACATATTTACATCGTAGAATTTTCATTTTTATCTAAATTTCATTAACATTTAAAATTCTAATTTTTTTTTTGTGAAAGGTACTAATTACTAATTAGTAAGAACCTAACACGATTAAGACATTTTTACAACCGTCTTCCGAATAAGTCTACACATGGCAATAAGCATACTATTAAAAATCCATTATATATTATAGACTTACCGCAATCGCCTGTTTCACATTTTCCTTGACTGTCGCAATTAGTCCTGCCCCAAATCCTGCCGGCCCAAGTCCGAGACGAGAGAATGAAATGGGTCTTGTAAGCGCCCAACATAAATCCACCGTTTTCGAGATGTTGCTGTCCTGGATCGCCTTGAACGCCGGGCCATACAGTAAACGGGCAGTTGTTTGTTACTCTAAGCATGTGTGCCATAGTGATTGCAGCCATTTGAACAAGAAATAATACAAACGTGAAGTCCATTTCAAGATTGAGATCGTGGGATTGTAATAGGTGTATCCGCAGTTAACTGGCTACAGAATTTGCGAGCTGCATTAGCAATGACGACGCATCTCATATCACATCTTGTTTATATACCGACGAGAAACCATTCGACAAAAATAATCTATTCTACAAAGGAAAAACTCAAGGTTATGGACCTCTTTCTCTTACTAATAAGATTATCAATAGCTAGTGTTGTTCTTTTCGCACCATGGCCATATAGACCTTATACTAAATAATAATAATAAATAATATATAAGTGATAAGTAATAATTAATTGTTTTTTTATTTAATACTCCCAAAAATTATAAATACAGGTAATAATCGTTATTTAGGGTTAGCTATACGTAATGTATATATAAAAAAATTAGTATAATAATGATGGTAATTAGGTATGCCAACAAAATTAAAATTAAGATTGGGACTAAAATTCTGCCACGGTGCCACATATATTTTAAAATTGTATCAAATGAATCTTTATCATTTGATATTTTGATCTTTCCTCGACGTTTTTTCCTGAATCATTTGGCCGAGTTCCCCATTCCCTCCATATTTTGTGTGTGTTCCCCCAAGATAGGGATCCACAAGACGTGTTAATCTGTAATTAATTATAAATTATATTTTAATACATGTGGTTGCAAATTAACATAAGCGCCCAGGCTCCAACCGTCAGGAATTTATGGAACCCTGTCTAAGATGAACCATACGTGTGGCGTTTGATCGTTTGATACTGTGATGTATTGTTAAGTTTGATTATCGTTTTTTTAATAAACCTTAAGTAATAATGCATCTAGGTATAGTAAAACTAGTAATAGTACGTTTTTTCGATTCATCGATTCATCGAGTTATGAGATTATTAGCACGATGTATCGATTATTATTGTGGCAAGGATATACAATTTTCATGAGCCCGGCGAGACGATAACAAACCAGTAATGTAACAGGTTTTTTAAAGCTGTGACGTAGCAAAAACAAATTAAAAATTTTTATTTTATACTTGAGTTTTTGTAAACACATACGTGTATTTACCCTCTCTCTCCATAGTACTATCTAGATCCGATTTTCTACCTCCACAATCCAGGTTCAAAGTTGATGCTTAAGATACAAAAATTAATAAAAACAAAAACAATTACAATGATTTGTAAAATCAATACGCTCAACTCGCTCCACTAAAAATCTAAAATGAATAATTTTGTATCGTACTGTTATTCTGTCACAAGTAAGTTGGACCTGAATGGCTGTATGTGGCTAAATCGTATTATAGTATTGATATTGTTTAATTGTGATTGGGCTCATACAAAAATATTAATAAAAAAAAAATTAATGTATGTTAATAAACATTAGTTATATCTTATATACCTACATATTAAATTTAAATATCTAGATATTTGTATCACCCTACCATTTTTAGTAATAATAATAATAAATAGCAAATAAGTGATAGTCGTTTATTTTTATTTAATAATTCCAAAAATTATACATACATAGGCAATAATTAGGCCTCGGATTTCGGAGCATTTGAGTTTTTGTTCTGGAATGCTTATACGATGCTTTTCAAGATACAAATGTGATTTAAGTACACACTATGCTAACTTTTATTGGTGCAATTAAACATTTTTCGAGATTTTTAATGTTTGAGTGCATTTTAAAACGTTTTTAGGGCATTATTTATTTTTTAGGTGATCTAAAATAGATTCTGAGCTAAGCGATTTTTTATTGATCTTACAATGATGTGTGAGTGCGTTTTTCTGCCTGTACCAACATTTGTGATAAAAAAATCTTCGGTTCTAGACATCAGCATCTTTTCTGATAGAAAGTAATTCTACTTGGTACTTTGAGAAGTCATAATTGAAAATGTCCAAAAGTTTTTGAAAATCTTGAAAAATTAAAAAAAAATAAAAAAGAAGGGTTATTTGTTACGAAAAACTAATTTTAAAAAAAATTGATTTTATTTGTTTTGGTTTAATTTGAAAACTTATAATAGTAGACACATGTAATTTTCATAAAATATTTACATTATTTATTTTACGAATTTTGTAAATTTTTTTAAATTTATCTCGATAAAAACTTTTCCATGTGGTTAGATATTATAATATGTTCAAATTCATGAAGCTGCAAATTAGTGTACGTTTTTTAAACATCAGAAAAAATGTGGTAGAAACACGTTTTGTGTTTAATTTTTGTTTTAAACCAGCTGTAAGTAATAAATAGATACTTATAAGTATTAATGGTACGTTTTTTTTTTAACTAAATATAAAACTAATCGATAGGAATATCGATTTTTATATTGGTGGGGCAACCATATGTGGTAAATAGATATTTTAAAGAAACTGTGATCAATAATATTTTGAAACTTGATAATTGGTTTATTACATAGTGCACCTCAAAAATGGATGTAGGTAATCAAAATAACTCAAGGCTCAAGGACATACTAAGTATAATTCCATATAATGGCCATATGTATAGGTGCACTACAGATTTTTTTTTTGAATTTTGTCGTTGGCGTTGTTGTTTAATTTATATACTATTTTTTAAAAATGTTTTACAGACAATCAATTTTATTTCTTTATTAATATTTTTTTATTACCATAATTAAAATTAAATAATGTCAATATATTATAATTTATAATCCGATATTACCACTTATGACTTATGAGTCAGACTTATTTGCGACAGGGAAACAGTGAGATACAAAATTATTAATTGTACATTTTGAGATGAAGTATTGATTTTACAATAATGTGTGTTTTTTGTTTCATTTTTTTATTTATTGTATTTCAATCATCAACTATGAATGTGATCCAACTGTTGCACCATAGTATTTTACCATGATAGATTTAGATGATACTAGAGAGGCTCCCACAGAGGGCAGATCAGAAAAAAATACATGATCTATAGTTTTATTCCCCTCATGGTATCCGCGATGTTACCGAGACTGTTACATCGACAGCGCCAGCAAAGCCTATATAGTTTGGCTCAAATTGCATGCTACAATATTATAATATAAATTTTGTTAATATAATATGAATTATATTATCATATCATCTATATTATGTCAACGGCCAAAATTACCACCTGAACACTATATCCCTGACCTGTTGATCTACCTGGGAGGTAATCGGAAAAAAAATCCCTGGAAAAAAAATCCCCGGAAATAAAATCCCCGTTAAAAAATCCCCGGTAAATAAAATCCCCAGAAAAAAAATCCCCGGAAAAAAAATCCCCAAAGCAACTATTTAAAAAAGTACATAATTATAATTAGTAAAAAATTTTAAAATTAGTAAAAATTAGATAATTAGAAAATAAGTAAAAAAAAAATAATATAATATTAGTTAGTTAATTAATAATAAAATAAATGTATATAATTATAGTCAGATTCGGTTCAGTCTGTTCGTTTTCTTATATTGTTAGACACAGCTGTCAAAAAGTCTCCAATGCTTAATTTATCTTCACTTTGTCTTATAACTAACTCTTTCAAGCGGATTTTTATTGTTTGATTTTGTCCTCTTTTTGTACGTCTTGGTTCACCTAAAGCATCCAATGCTAACTGTGCTCGATCGGCGTCAATTTCATTTTTAATTTTCCTAATAAGTTTCCACATTGTAGGATGTTTTTGACCAACTAGTTTGGAAAACCTATTATTCCACCCTTCAACGATGTTGTTGGTTCTGTGGCAGTCATTGAGGGTGGTTTTATTTACATTCCACACAGCTGGTGGGAACATTGGTGGCAGTTTTCGAAACCTCATGTTATTTTCGTCGTTTCCAATTCTTCGATACTTGCCATTTACATAATACGAATCAAAATAATCTAATAAATCCATAAGATTTTCAGGCAAACTATATTTTAAATATTTCATTCCATCTTCTACGAGGTGCAATGGAAGGAATGCAAGTGCATCAATCATTCCACATTGTTTTCGAAACTCTTCATCCTTATGGTATTTCGAAGCAAAGCCCAATTCTTGTATTTTCCTGAACGTCGATTGACATAAGTGATAGAAGCAGCCTTTTATATCAATATGGACACCAATTACTTCTTTAGCTGCTTCAATAACTGCGCTTTCAAAATCGAGATGTAAACATTTGGGGTCAGGGTATACATTTCGTTCAGCACATTCATCCATTATAATTTGAAACATTTCTACGTATGTATTTTTAGTTTTCCTTTGTAAAATACAGTAAATCGTAGTTACAAATACATTATTTTTTTTTACCCGTATTACATATAACTGTAGGAAAAACTTTGGAGACAGTCCGAAATTCCCGTCTAAATACCAAGTATCTGATTCTGAAAGCAGTTGCAAGTGTTCATCTGTTGCAAATATAATTATCCTTTCAGATGCCTCTGGACCATTATCCCTCAATAATAGTCTATTATTACCCAATAATGCCCATTCACCTGTAATAAAATAGATATAATTTGTTAAGTATAGGATTTTATTTTCTAATTAATATAATTAAAAAAAAAAATTTACCATCAATAACAATTTCTTTGATATTTTGAGGTTCGTTCGGATTATGAAAACTTCGATGATATCTAATACTACGTTTTAAATATTCTTCCTTGGGTAACTCAGCTAAAACATCGACATCCAGATTCCCGATTACCTCCGAAAATATTTGGCCGGGTGTATCATTTGAGGATAAAGCTTTATTTTTTATTTCTTGTTTAACTTTTATGGCAGCTATAGCTATAAATAATAACAATTCTTATTTATATTCATTGGCGGAAATCTTGCGAACATAAAATATTTGTAGTTTTATATTTGTTTTTAAATTTGTTTGTATAATATTTTACATAATATTTTATAGGAAAATTAAAATTATAAGTTGGAACACTGTCCTATAGTGATTTATTTTATCGTCTGTCGAATAAAACAAAATCTGTAAAATTATATTCTGGACGTACTAATTGGTTACTAATTCAGTAATAGGTACCTACTTATCAAGGCCTATGATAAAATTGTTATCGACAATAATTTGTCGTGCTACATTAATTTATTAATTAATTAAAATTTGAGAACATATTTATAACACATAAATATATAAGTGTCCTAACTATATGTAAATTATTAAATTAAAATAAATCTTACCATTTTTATCGGCAGAATGATTGTGTTCATGGATCTCCCTTGGATTACTATTTTGAAGCGATGTTTTTAAAATGGCTAAACATTTAAATGAACTATATTTTGCACACCTCCATCTCTTGAAAAACTTACAGTCTTTTTGGTGTACATAAGTATAACCATTTAAGCAAATTTTATAGTTCCCTTGGTTAGATTTAACAATTTCCATAGTCGCATTGATTTCCATAGCCGGACAATTACGGCCTCGCACAGTCACACAAATCAAAGTTACTTAATAGGAACTGAAGATGTACTAACCGTAACCGTTATAATAACGTATAGATACCAAATATTACGTATTTTGAGTTATTTTGACTTGTATTTTCCCAATTTCAAATTTTATTGCTCTATGCCAAGGCCCACCCAACTAGCGGCCCGCGAACCTTTTTTATCTGTAAAATGCTTTCTTATTGCACACTAAATTTGTAGTACGAATGTACCGTGTAAATTGCAAGCCTCGATCTATCATTGTTCAGGCTCAACGTTTATCAGAGAGTGTCCAGTGAGTTAGTCAAGTTATATATTGGTAGTATTATAGTCATTCCGCTTTTAAATAGTTGCTTTGGGGATTTTTTTTCCGGGGATTTTTTTTCTGGGGATTTTATTTACCGGGGATTTTTTAACGGGGATTTTATTTCTGGGGATTTTTTTTCCGGGGATTTTTATTCCGGGATTCACCTGGGAGGCCACTTTGTCCGAAACAACAACATTAAAAAAAAAACTATGTTCTTAGTCCTAAGATCTAATCTACATGGCTGAGCATATATTTAAACAAACATCGTTTAAATAGACAACGATTCTGGTTGTATAGCACCAGATCCAACAAATATAATCCAAAAATGGTTTATTTTTAACCAAAATTATTCATTGCCTCCCTAAAATCAGGGAAGGAAAAAATCGAATAAAATAATATCATCAATTTATTAAACGAACACTCGTGTAACTACTGTAAATCTGTCACTAGCCAGAAGCCAAAAACTAATTCATGTGACTGACATTATTAGTCTATACTGTCTATATTGATAACATTAGTTGCAACAACAACGCCCGGCTGAGCAGCAATGGCATCTTAAATGGAAACTTTATTTTTCTTCCCTCTAACTACCTATATTAGTAGATTGCCGCTATTGATAATAAATTAGTAGGTTGTTAGGTCGTTTTATTATTATAGGTAGGCATAGGTAGGGGGCACGCCAGACGAGTACCCAAAAAAACAATACAAAATTCCTCATTAGGTAGTTGTTATTACTGGAAATTTAAGCGATTGCAGAAATACGTTACAATGCGACGACATTACTTAGATACACGTAAAACGATGATTTAACCTCAAATGATTTTTACTACTTTGTAATAATTCAAAAAATATTAATCGTATAGAAACTTGAAACATTAAACTAATATTTAAATTAATATTATAACCTATAGGTAATAATTTGATACTATACAATATTATCTGAGATTTATATTTGACAAAAATTACTAAATTAGTTCAGACACTTCAAACTACCGTTTTAGTAATGGTCATATAAATGTAAAGATTATTACAAGTATAATATAGATTATGCGGTAGATAGTGATATAGCTGGTTCTGTTGCCAATTTCGTCATAAGGCAGTTTTTGAAGCCAACAATTTTATTGGTTTTTATGTACATACCTATAGTAGCTAGTTTGAGATTGACTTAGTGATATAGGTGGTTTTGAAACAAATATCAAAACATTTAATGAAAACAAAACATTAATTTTACGTCACACATACCTTGGACCATATCTATTCTACACCGTGTACCGACGTCATGTTTGGATGTTGAATATTTTTACTTATAATACAGTGTGACAATCTAGAAAATACAAAAAAAACGGCTTTAAAAAAATGTTCTTTAAGCTGATTTTGAAACGACACAATACTTACTCGCATAATATAATTTAAAATGTCATAGCGATAGTTAGTAAAAATGTTTTAATTCCATATTTAACTTTATATTAATCACTGATCAGAAGCAAAAATGTTGTGTTTTACATAGGAACAGTACCGTCAGTACCACTTGTTCCTATCGGCTATCTGTCCATATAGATTATAGAAAGACTAAAAAACAAATACAAATGTTACTAGTTACAATCTCCAGTAAGTGTAAGTATTAATACTATAACCTAAAAGTCAACACTTATTAATTAAGAATGGTATATTTATTTGATAATTTCAAATACATTCAACATTTACAAAAAACTATTCTTTTATTTTAAATAAATGTATTTTAACATTTTATTTTATTTTGTAAATTATTTTAATTAAATAAATAATTTAACCTAAAAAAGATTGAAAAGTGGGATCGCTCTGATATACAATAAGAATGGGTCACTAATATACGTGTTAAATTTTAATTCTATGATAAATCATTGCACACGAACAGGGCATATACAATTTTTTAGATGGGGGCACTAAATTAGGGTAATTTTCAGACTGATAATTAAAACAAATAACAATTACAACTATAATTGCAACACACTCACCGCATCATTCCCCCTTTATTTAAGATTTACCTTAGAATAACCACAGATTAACACCCAATTATGAACGCAGTGGCATACACGAGGGGGGTTGTTTGTTCAAACCATCCCTTGATTTTTATTTTACTACATGTATACAAATTAATATAATCAAAAAATATTTTGATATAGGTAATATATACATTTGTGTTTTTATATAACACCTCCCGTTGAAAATATCTGTGTGTACGCCACTGCATGGATGAAGATACCAGCTATATCTAAAACTACACTAATTAAAATTATTGTATAACAATTTATAAATTATAAATTATAGAACAATTATACAACTATTTGTTAGTTGGAAATACATAGCACCTACTGTTTATTTAGTTATTTACCTACAGTGTGAGACTTAGTTTGGTATTTAGTTTTTTAATGTAAATTATAAATTATTGTTAGTTTTTGGTAAGATAAAGTGGGCATACATAACCCAGAAAAAAAATTGTTTTTTATTTAGTTTTAGTACTTGACGATGTAGAAAAATATGCCATGATTAAAAACAGAATGTGAAAAAAAAATATTTATAAAGTTAGGTACCGGTGAAATCCGGATGTACCTTTGACGTCATAGCGTCGGCCGTCTCCACGTGGCACTGGCACTTGGCAGGTATGAATAATAGGTACTAGATTGAATACCATTGGTATGAATGAAAATATTCTCATCGCCTGATGATTGTATATTATATTATTATGAACGTTGTATACTGATTCTGTATTGATACTTTATTTTTAGTTTACAATTGATAACATCCCATATCTACTAAAACTAAATAATGAATAATAAAATATTCCTGAAGGCACCTAACACATTCGTCCGTAGTCCGTACCTACCTAATCAGTATACGTATTTACAAGCTCGTTAGTCGTTAGGTACACGTTTTTCCTAAGTTTGAAGTTTAAACTTTAACCTTATTGTATTCGAATTAAAATAAAACTAAAAAAAATTAACAAAATGTGTAATTTAAAAATGTTTGTAACTTGCTAAAAAACCGAACTATCTTAAAACACCAACATTCGAAAACAGTTAATATCTCTCTTACCATTAAGTTTCACAATAGGTTAATTCACTCAGTATCTGCTCTAACCAATTTTAAACCATCTTTTTAATTTTTATAAACTTTTAACATAAAAATGTTTACTTATCAGTTATCATAACGATGACTGTCTCACCTTCGTTTTAAGGAATTTCGATAGTTCATGGTTCCTTGGTGTATTTATTTCTATTTTACCTTCAACAGTTCAACACCTCTTGTAGGTACCAAACCTTCCAGGTACAAATACATAACTATAATTATGGAAAATACAATTATATACCTATAAACAATTTGTTAAATATATATAATTAATGAACTTACTCACTACGTCATAATTTCTGCTATGCTTTGGGGCGCTCAACTGGATTTCATAGTTTTATTTCAGCTCCAATATTTAACATAAGTACTATACGTATCAGCAACATTTTGGGCCATCACAGGCAATCGGGAAATGGATCCGAGCGTCTGTACTCCGGAGTTCGCTGTATAGCAATACTAATTACTAGTTTGAACCGATTTTTACTCATAGGTTTCTCGTATTTTTCTCATAGCGGAGTCTTGCAAAGCAATATCCAATATTAATAAATAGTATTACATATTTTATAGGTGTCAGTATAGCAGTAACTCAACTCAATAAACGTCGTTGTTGTTGTGAATGTTGACATGTGAAAAAGCCTCAACCTTAGAAAACACACTATAATAATTATTTATTTATGGGTGGTATTCAATTTACACTTAGAATTTCAAATAATTGCGGTATTAGATTTGGTTACGTTGGTGTACATGTAGGATTTTGAAGATAAAGATGTCTTATCACTTTTTGAACAACTACCCAGTAACCAGCTATGAACCACGATTAAAGAATATTGGTGCATGGTTACTATAGTATGTTTATGATAAGTAAATAAAATCTGCGTTCTTAGCAGGGGCCACGTCGTCGTTTCCGGCGGTCAATGTTAAACACCACTGGCATCGACAAACATCGGAGTTACCTCTTACCAATCCAAAGCCCTCCGCTGTATTGCCACATCACCTCGCGATTAAATCCGCGACCCAAAGATAATAGATCTCCAGGTTTAAAAACGTATAACAAAAAATTATATTATGGAGTGCTTGCTTTAACCTTTAGTAGAGATTAGACATTACAATTTTCTACAAAATCACACATTATTTTCAATTAGTATGAATCGCCAAATTATTTCAATGATACTTTGGCTTTTGATCATTCATCATTGCCTATTTTTTTTTCCAATTTACAGGCACCTAAATGCAACAGAAATCAGTCTAATTCACATATCAATAGAATAAAATGTTTTGAGAGCTTAAATTTATTAGCTGCTTGACGGAAGAAATATGTTAAAATATTTAACTAAAGAATAAATTTTATAATTGAAAATAAATTTTAAATAAACACAAACTTTTGAATTATTCAAAGAAATATTAAATATTATGATAATTTATTATTTTACTTTAGTCTGAATCTGGCCAATCAAGTTAGAATAGTTTTGAAAAATTCAGTCAATACTCAATACTATAAAAAAAATTACTTTCAACAACATATTTTTGTAGTTTGAGGATTATCTTATTCTGATACATATTAAACACTTTACTTGTATAAATTACATTACTTGCTTCATAAAAATATAAAGTACAAGTATAACTTATTCCACGTAAAAAAAGTGCAAAAAGAATAAGAAAAAAAGGAAATAAAGGCAACTTTTGATAAAATATAAATGGTAAATAATTCAAAATTCAAAAAGAAGCTTTTATTCTTTAAGAAAAAAAATGTTTTACAAGTTGTTAGGTCGACCAGTTAGGTGCAGAACCACCTCCCCAGTTGGTATTGGCTGCACCAGTAGCAGGCGCTGCATTCCATTCTTCAGCCTAAAAGTTAAATAAATGATAGAAAAACACATTTAAAAATAATGGGCTTAAAAGAGACAAGAAAATACGAACCGCCCAGTCAAGAGCTGGAGCAGGAGTAGCTGCAGCTACTGCTAATGGTGGCACAGGAGTTCCATCTTCAGCCCAATTTTGTGGAGCAGTAGCTGCTACTGCACCCTCATTCCAGTCAGCAGCTGTATTGGACAATGAATAAGCTTCTTCCACACC